AGAGTAAAAGGAGAGTTCGGTGATCTCTTGGACAAATCACCCTCTAGGACGCCAAGATAGGTTCAGCTAGGAAGGGGAGGAACAAGGGAAAACAAGAGCTTTTCCCCGTGGACCAATCCGTGACGAGATCCTACGCCCGGGCCCATAACAGGCACCCATATAGAATTTTAGCATTTACAGTTTTTCTAGTCTTAAACGACATGTGCCTATTATTCGCAGATAAACACTGATATGTTAGGAACCTCTCCGCTTTTGATATATTCAATCATCCATGCTTTTGGTATTTTTTTTTATTTACAACATAGGTTTATGAATTTAATGTTATGAAGAAAATCACATGGAAAATTAAGACTTAAAATAGAAAATTATTGAAGGTCAATCAAATATGAATGCTAAATTTAAGAAATAGAGTATGCACCTTTATTAACCATTTAACCAAGATATCAAAATTTTGTTTTAAACCGCAAGTGAAATAGACAAATTTATCAATGTAAACATCAGATACATGCTTATTGATAGCATTGGCAACTCTCTGGTGTTTGGTAACTCCCACTATTGACTTCCCCCTGTTGGGTCAACTAAAAAGCAAAATTGCTTGGTTTATTGATTTTGTTTGGGTGAATTTGGTTGACTTTTGTATAGGCAAAAGAAATCATATTAACAAGTAAGGACTGGCCTTTTGTTCCTTGTTTCCAGTCTCCAGGCATGTAATTGACAAGGTTTCTTCCCAGGTGGCCTTTGTAAATAGGTGGTCAAACTGGCCTAAGAACTCCCAGTCTCTTTTTAACTCATGACATCCAAAAACTAGTGAGTACTTAGCCACCAGTTTATGCATCCATTATAATCTTTGGACTCGTCAAAAAAAAAAGGAAACATTATAGGCTTTGGATGTTTCAAAATAAAGGCAGTGATGAAGAACTTACAGAAAATTGATAAAAAAAATACCTATTATAAATATAATATAAGGACATCTTGACTTTAAAAGGGGGATGATGTCATATTCTTTTTCCTTGATGAAATCACAGATCATTTTCAGATGGATCAACATCTTCCAGATTTATGGTTCAGAATGGAGATATTCTAGAGCAGCTTCTTTTGGCTATTGCTTGTTACACCTTTAGCACTCAGTTTTGATGGTTGCTTACTAGGCAACCCTGGTCTTTAGGATAGGAGAGATCTTAATAGATACCAGAGGGTGAATTCCTTCAACTCAGATCATGTGGAAGATGGTGATTTGGTAAGGGTGAGGCTCTCCTTCAGCCTTATGCTGTCATTCTCTATAAGCTTTGGAATATTTATTGGATGGAGAGATGCATGCAGACAAAACCACTTTATCAATGAGGGTCAATAACATTCAGGTTGAACCCTATTTCTTGACTCTTTCTTCTTGTAGTTGTAAGGTCAGCCAGCTGTGAGACTGCTTCAAATTTGCTTGCATCCATCAATACAGTAGTTGGCATCTTGCCTAGGGAGTATGAGGTTAACTCTTTGTATTGGAGTTTCTTCACCATCCTAGGGGCTGAATGTTGTAGCTGTTATCTGGAGCCTCTTTCTTTGGGTTCTTTTCTGAAATCTGGGACTTGTTTCTGAGTTCCTTCATTTTTTACTATCTTCTCCCTTGCCCTCTCTCATGATTTTATAATACAATGAAGAAGACAAAACAAGATGCCAGGTGTAATGGACTGGAGTAATGCCTTAATCTTCACTGTTATTGTTATTTCTTATTTCTTATTTCTTATTATTTCTTAATCATATCTCAGCCTCATGTTATGATGGAACCACCAAAGAGTTTAAGTGTTGCTCTTCAATGAGGTGGACCTTCTTTCTCATTGCTAATTCAAACCTCTCATATTCCTTTTCATGATATTCTCTTAAGATCTACTAGTCTAGAAAATAAGATGATTATGTGATGTTGCATTCTTTCTGTCATTTTTTTTTTGCTGTAATAGCTTTCATGGTTCCCATCCAGAAAAAAATGCTCTATACATTTTAAGGCCTATTTTACTTTTTATTACTTTGATTTGTTGATGTCTTTTGGGCAATTCATACATCTGTATAGTTGTATTTTGGATTCTCCACTAGCAGTTCATCAGATGTGTTGTGTAATTCAAGTGATAGTTTTGTTGGTAAAAATAACCTCTTTGGAGCATGATTATATTATGCAGCAGATTCTAGGTCTGCTTTACTGTTCTGGTACTTTGTTTTGGATATCTTTGTGGGGTTACAACTTCCTGTATCTTGCCCTTTTCTTTGTAAAACAGTTTTTGGACGGAAAGGACTCTGAGCTTCATGTATCACGCCAAGCTGGTTTGCTTGATTTCATTGCTTCTGCACTGCCTGCTTCTCACATATCAAGGCCTGAAGCTTGCCAGGTGACAACATATCTCTTAAGACTCCTGCGGGTGGTTCTGGTTCTGCCTGCCAACAGGAGTTATTTTCTTGCACAGAATCTATTGCCTCCGATTATCCCCATGCTGTCTGCAGCTCTTGAGAATTATATCAAGATTGCAGCAGCTTTAAATGTTACTGGAAGTGCTAATTCATTGTCCAATAAAATGTCAACGGATAATTTTGAATCAATTTCTGAAGTACTGGAGGGCTTCTTGTGGACTGCCACAGCAATTATTGGATATATTGCCTCTGATGAACGACAACTCCAAATGCAAGATGGTCTTGTGGAGCTTGTGGTTGCTTATCAAATTATTCACCGGCTTCGTGATCTTTTTGCTCTCTATGATAGGCCCCAGGTGGAAGGATCTCCATTTCCTTCATCTATTCTCTTAAGTTTAAATCTTTTGGCTGTTTTAACATCCAGAACAAGAACAATTTCTTCTATCAATTGGGATTCTTTTCCATCCAAAATGACACCAGTGGATGAATCTTTAGAAGCTAAGCCTGCACCATCTGCAGATCCTATGGGTTCCACTGAAAGCATAGCCAATGGAGATTCTGGTTTGATTCCATCTCTTGTAAACACACATGCAGAGACACATCTTTTGGAAGTACACGAGGACAGACCATTGGATGTATCATGCAGCACAAGCAGACAGGATGAGTCATCATCTGGTGTAAGGGATTTTTCTACAGAGATGACTGATATTCCAGTTGAGATGAATAATGTTCACTTTGCTTCCAAAGTCCATGTGACAAATATTCCAGCTGTATCCCGCAAAGGTTTGATTGAAGGACAAGCAAATTCACCTCCTAAGGATGAGAAGAGTTTGGTGGATAATGGTACAGAACACAAGAATGAAGACATTCAGGGCTCTAAGCAGCTTGTAGCACTTCTTCTCTCTGTTATATCTGAGACTGGCCTAGTCAGTCTTCCTTCACTCTTGACAGCAGTTCTGTTACAGGCAAACAGCAGATTGTCCTCCGAGCAGGTAAGATTGTTTTCTGCTGCAACCATGTCCTGATATGTTACTATTTTTCAATACTTCATTTATTGCATCACAAGGAACTTTGGAAGTTTACTGTTATACCTTCTATTATTTGTTCTGCAGTATCATCTCTCTCTGTCTCTCTCTCAATACTCAATATTTGAGACTGAGTTTTATGTCCCTATACTCAGTGATATCATAATTATCATTATTCTGCTGTTATACATGGCCTCCGTAAATTCTATCTTCTAACACTGTAATGAAGTACTAATGCTAATTGTGGGTGTTGAATGATATTCCTGATTTTAACAATTATCACTGTCTTGATAGTCCTATCTATGTTTTTATTTTGGAAAATAAGAATGTCTGCCATTTTGGAAAAGTAATTCAGTTTTCAATGACTTGAGTTGGATTTCAGGCATCTTATGTTCTTCCATCAAATTTCGAAGAAGTGGCTACTGGAGTATTAAAAGTGTTGAACAATCTAGCTCTGTTGGATATTACTTTTATGCAGCGAATGCTAGTAAGTTCTGTGTCTGTCATCAATTATCATGTTAGGTTATTGTAGGGGTCTGGTTCATTGAATTTGCTTCATTTTGATTTTTTTTTGTAACTTTTTTGTCATGTATAGATTACTTCCATGTAACGTTTCTAAATAAATAATGCATTTTCCTTTGAATCGTGGACAGGCCAGACCAGACCTAAAAATGGAATTCTTCCACTTAATGAGTTTCCTCCTTTCTCATTGTACAAGCAAGTGGAAAACAGCAACTGATCAGGTGACTTTTTGTATTTTATTGTTTCAAAATGTTCTGCTGGATATGCTATAGTATACTAGTCATCTTTGTCATCATCATCATCATCTAAGCCTTGTCCCAACCATATGGAGGTGGCTATATGAATCCTGTTCCACCATTCTGTCCTGTTCAGCACCAATCATGATCCATGTTCGTAGGAGTTTTGGAAATTTTTTTAATGCTGTCTGCCAACCTGACACAATCCTCTTATTTTATCCGGGCTTGGAACCAGCAGTATGAGACAAGTTCACACTGATGGAATTGCTATATTATAAGTAGTTCTAAATAAATACCTGTACACATGGTAATTGTACTATGTAACCCGAACACTTGTTCCTGTTTGCATTACCTAACTATTTCTCTTCTGTGCTTGGTGGTTACATGGGACTGCATTTTATCTCTCTTTGTGCTTCATGGCTGTTACATTTGGGTACATGTGCTAACATTTATATGAAATTTTTACACATGTCATGCAACGTTTCTCAGTTGGGTCTGCTTCTGCTTGAATCTCTACTACTCCTTGGCTACTTTGCTTTGTTCCACCCTGAAAATCAAGCTGTCCTTCGATGGGGCAAAAGTCCAACCATCCTTCACAAGGTGAGTTCATCTTTTCAGGGATTTTTCCCTCTCTGATATCTTCAAGACTTCATAGAGCAAGAACCTAACCTGTTCAGCTAAAGCAGGTCTGTGATCTGCCATTTGTGTTCTTTAGTGATCCTGAGTTGATGCCCATCTTGGCCAGCACCTTAGTAGCTGCCTGCTATGGATGTGAGCAGAACAAAGGTGTAGTTCAGCAAGAACTCAGTACAGAAATGTTGCTGTCCTTAATTAGATCATGCAGAACTGGGTCTGCCAATCAGTCTGATCCATCGCCAACAGACTATCCCACCACAGAAGATCCATGTGAAACTAACCAGTTGGGTTCTGATTCTAAAAAGCTTCAAGGTGAATTCTCTCTCAGATCTAGCCGTTACAATCCAAGAAGCACTAGGGTTCCTTTGGGAAGGAATGGCTCCTTGGGTAGCACTAGAATCAGCAAGGTGAGAAACCAAAGGGATGGAAAAGCAACAATAAAAACTTGTGAAGAATGGGCCCTCAAGCACAACATGCCAGCTTCAGAGGCGGCTTCTACTTTCATGTTGCACAGTAGGTTGCCTAGCAGCTTTATTGACAAGGCAGAGGCATTCTTTTCAGTAGATTTGCCAAAGTGTGTGTGGTGAAGAATTAATTGGCTAATTCAAAGCTCTTTGATCTAACATCATTTCAAGTTACAAAGTTGTGCTTTGTAGTGTACTTCGGGATGTTGGCATCATGACGGATGATCATTCAGATGCTAAGTTTGCATTCTTCTTATAGAAACTACTCAAGATTGGCTTTATTGCTTTCAATCTACCGAGTAGCAGAAGCTTTAGTTGGCACAACTGAGAGTATTTTCTTGACAGTGGTGGATGAAGTGATTTTTGCGATCTGTGCCAGCCAGTTTTTGTTGAAGCAATTGTACAGCTACCACACTTAAAAATAGACAGGGAGCCATACTTAGAATAAAATGCTGGCAATGAACTCTTTGAAGTTGTCAGTATTGGAGCTTTGAAACCCTAAAGAAATGGGGTTCTGTATATTACAGGGTAAATTTGATCAACCACAGGCTAAAGTCCATGGGAGTTACTTTAATCCACTTTTTCCTCTATCTTTTGTTTTGGTGATGTTATTCCCAGATGATTAAAATACACAATACTGGGCGTGTTTTTATGCCTTGTACTTGTTTTTCACCAAAACAGGCTCAAATCTTGTATTCTTACTCATTATTGATAATCTAACGCAAGTGCATTATTTTATGCTAGGATTAGAGGTTTCCTTTCTTGCTTTCTTTAGGATGAATCAAGAAGTAAAAGCATCTATTATGATTAACGAGCGCATTGAATGGTGTGTGTAGTACTAGCATTCAAATGCGATTTAGTGTTTTTTTTGGTCCACCGTTCACCTTGTGATGCATATTATTTCTTAAAAATTAGAAAGTGTGACATGGTAGAATCTGTCAAAATCGTCCTACATGTTCAGCATCTGCATCATAGCTTTCTAGTTCAAGAGAAGTCAATAAACAATTACGGAAACGAGGCGATACCAGAAACACAAAGGACCTACCTCCTGACCTCTAGGTCCTCCGGAGGCTCGAGGCAAAGACAAAAATACGGAATAGATGATTCTCTGTTCGAGAAGGGCACTACCCCCAATACGACCCACTGCACTCGGCCCATAAGCATCAGAAAAAGCAAGTGAGCCGGTCTTGACGGTAGGGGTGTCAATGGACCGGTTTTGGGTTGGACTCCGTCCAAATGGATATAAGACATTGAATTTGGACGTACTGGACGGACCAATATGACATATTGGATTGGATCTGGCCCGTCTATAATGAATTTATATTGGATTGAGCCAATATCTGGTCCATTGATAGAAGATAATAACATAGATGCCAATGGACCAGGTTTGAGTTGAAGCCAATCTAAATTAACAGGAATTTGAACAGATTGGACAGTCTCTGGACCGGTTCAAAATGATCCAAAATCTTCATTGGATTGGATTGGACCAGGTCCATTTATAATGGACTCACATTGGACTGGATCAGATTGGACCAAATCCAGTCCAATTGACACCCCTACTTGACAGCCGTCAGAAACTCAGAATTAGATGTTCACTGTGGATGGCCAAGACGTAGCACCCAGATGCAAAATCCAATGAATATCAGACAAGCAACATGCTAAACGATAAAGAGAAACGGAAAAAGATAAGAGGCCTAACTAAAAGAATAATTGTGTAAACAAGAAAACCACTATGTTTTATATCTGAGCATCTATACAACCTTTAATTGGACTACTGACTTTTACAAAGAAATAAGGACAGAAAATTCAGTGTAAAGTAACTCTGTTGAAGCTGCACCATTTTTTTTTTCTTTTTGGTAATTTTCTTGATTCCAAGTTTAACTATAGATATCTTCCTTTGTTCCCTTCACTTCAGTGATGGGAACAAGAAATGTACCTCTTATTTTGTCTACCCAGATCTTTTGTGAAGCTTTGTAGCATCAAAGCTCGTGTTTTACCATCAGGTTTAAGTCCATTATCAAGCATTTTCATATACAACTTCTTAGCAGACATGATCTTGCCTCGTAGACACATGCCTTGGATCACTGCATTGTACAGAGATACATTTGGACCAACACACTGCCAAATAAACCAAATAAGTTAGAGATGAACATGTTCAGCATCAAGGATTCATAAAAAAATTCAGTGGCAAGGCCAAAAGGCTAGATATAGTTGCAATCTCCCCAATAAAATCACAAGATGAATATGCAAGAAAATAATAAAAAAATATGGCATAACATAAATTACATGGTCAATAACCTGGGGTTGTTTTGAATTGCTCTCTTAATTTGCCAAGTCCATCTCCTATGTTATCCAGGGTGATGAGTTTGTTGGGACCTAAAGGGTGCTTGCACCTTGAGGCTACCCTCAAAGCAAGACTCTAGGGGAACTCCTTAGGGCTCAAGTTTGAGACTTTCACTTCAAAGCAATTGTATACCTTGGCATGGCTTATGTTAAGTGCATGTGTCTCTTATATTAGTCAGAATCAACTAATCATCACTGTACTAGAGTTAAAGGTCAGACTTTGTTTTCAATATGTTTATAGTTGTAGTTAGTTTCAAATATTTTCAGTGGCATTTGAACTTTAAAGCTTTAAAACATGCCTCATGGCAAGGTAAAGCTGAATTGCCCTTAGGAGCAATTATGAAGCATAACATGCTTGTGAGGTGAGCAAAGTGTCTGAGGTAGAATAGGCACAACACTTTTTAACACCATAAATCCAAGGCATGAATTTCATGAACATGAGACATGTTAAAATTATGAAAATTTAATGTAAAATATGAAATAAACCTCGTTCTATGTATCGGTATAAAATAAATAACTTAAATTAGCCAATAGTAGGGCCATTGAACAACAAAACGGTTTATTAAACACACAAGAAAATAATTATTATACATGTACAGTTACTCATTCATTAAAAATACATGCATGTGAAGCTTAAGCCAACATTACACATTTTAGAGGTGAAATTTGCAATTGGTACTTATAGGCAATTTAGGGCATTCAGTTAAGATCTGAATATGTTAATGAGTTAGATAATGTAACATATAAGAATTGGAAACTTACATCTAGGATTTCCACCACTTCAGCCCAGAGAGATCCCCATATGCAAGCTCTTGTTAATGACAAATAAGTGAATGTGTCTGGACTGCACTTTTGGTGGAGCATGTGTTCATAGACTTGCAAGGCAACTTTTGGCTTTCTTGCAGCTTCACAGGCACCAATAACAAGGTTGTATGATGCAGTTGATACCGGCAATCCCCTAACTTCCATCTGCCACAGAAGCTGCAAGGATCGATCCCAGTAACCAAGTCTTTGGCAAGACATTAGAGCTGTATTATATAGATGAAGATTTAACTGAGAATTCCACTCTCCTTTAATGCTCTCAAACAATTGTAAAGCATCAGCATATCTATTTCCCCGGTTCAGTGCACCAATCAAGGCATTCCATGTGTAAACATCAGGTGCATGACCTGAAGATCTCATGAGATCATAAACCCTGAATGCTAGTTTTACTTCTCCAGCCTTCCCTAAAGAATTGATCAATGTATTGTAGGTTGAAACATTTGGGTTGAAACCACTGTCCCTCATATTCTGGAAGATTCTAAGTGCCAAACTCCATTTACCCTCCTTTGTGCAGGCAGCAATTACAGCCTGCATCATATCCTGACCTGGATTAAATCCATTTTGGACCATTTCATGGTAAGCATCAAGTGCAAGTTCTATCTGACCACAGCGAACAAAGATGCAAACTAATAAACGATAAGTAACAATTGTTTCAGGATGACCATTTTCCTTCAGCTTTCTCCACATTCTCTCTGTTTGAATCCAGTTGTTTGTTTTTCCACAAATTGAAATTATAGTATTGTAAACAATTGCATCAAAACCTTTCTCCAGTGTACCATTCCCTTCCAATTCCACGAACATTTTAAGAGCTGATTCACAACCCTGAGTACTTGCAATTGCCTTGAGGATTAAGCTATATGTATGACCTGTGGCCATCTCCTTCTCCTTCATAATCTCAAAGATTTTCAACGCATCATCAGGCATCTTGTTCCTCAAAAGACAAGATAGGAGAGAGTTACAGGCATGTAGATTGGGTCGAAGACCAGAAGCCTCCATTGACATATACAACTCCAATGCACTCCTGAACTTGTTAGACCTGCTAAGGCTCAGGATCCTTTTTGACAAGACTTCTTCATCCATTTCCTCTAAAAAATGCAGCTTGGGTTGAAATGGACTAACCATCACCTTTGATTCGATGGAAGTCGGTCTACCTCCACTATGTGCAACACCAGAGTCATCATGAACTGTTGAATTTCCCCATGGTGGCAACTGTTCATAGGAATTATTATTGCATTCCTCTTCTCTTTTTTGACATGATATTTTGGCTTCCTCCCCTTCACAACCTACGCTAAATGGTAAACTAGCAACAAGAAATGGTTTATCCTTTCCTCCTCTAGAACCGACTAGCCACTTTGTTCCTGGCATTCTCAGTACACTCAAACCACTGAAACACTTATCCATGGATACCATGTTAACTTCATGTATTGCCATGTATTTTCGGTCGGGTCTTCCGTCAAATAGATTGAAATCTAAGCTACAATGCCAAGGTGGCCTATATGTTACATTTTCCCGAGTGGTTGGCTTTTGTTGGCTATGAGAACCCTCCGATATGATGCGAACTGTAAGCCGACTTGTCAAAACTCCTATCATGGTTGAGTCCGGAAAGGACAGAGAAGTTAATTGGGATATCTGAACCCCAGAAGTTAAAGAAAAACCCAAGGTAAGAGAAAAGAACCCCAAAACGGAGACGAGTTCAAGCCCTTCCAAAACTTAAGATGAAGGTACTCATATTTTGCGTTGCTGTGAAGAGAAAGCAGTCAATTAGAATACTTTTAAGGTTAAAACTCAAAACAATGTAATTTCACGGTTGGGAAAAAAAGTGCAACAATTCTGAATATCCCAAGCATTAAAAGGGATGGAAACACGATGTATACAGTTGTGTGAATAAAACCCACATCAAACTCAAGTGGTCTAAAGCTGAACTTATTGACCATAGGAGAAAATCAATTCAAGTGGAAGAAATTCCAAGCATGAAATTCGCAGAAATGGCGACTTTAACATTAGGAGAGTTCACATCCATAGTCGAACTTTCAGAGTTTAGGACATGAGAAGAAGAAAACCCACCTCAGATGGAGCAGAACCAGCCTTGTAAGACGAAGATTTGTCTGGAATCTTGGGAGAGATGGTGTACACATACAGCTATCAACAGAGATGGTAAAAGACCTCTCTTTGAAAATATGGAGGGAAGAAAGAAGATAACGAATCTTAGGAACTTTGAGTTGAGCAGATGGGTATCGGTAGAAGCTCAACAAAGATCATTTTTGGAAAATTTTCGATTATTACCGGTATTTTGGGGCTAATGCTATTTTGGTCCCCAACTTTCAAAATGTATCAATTCAGTACATATTTCAAACTTTCAATTCAATGCCAATTGTTAAATGGCATTTGAAAAAAGACATAAATGTTATTCAAGTGTTATCTAATTTTTTTTATCAATCATTCAAATTAACAGTCCTAAATCTTAACCTTTTTTATTTAAGAAAATTGGGTCCAAAATGCCCATTAAGGCATGACCCCAATTTTATTGAATAGAAGAAGTAGAGATTTGAGATTGTTAATTTTTTGTCGAATACCACTTCACAGCTAATTAATAATTGGTTAATGGTTTCGAATATTGAATTATCGTATTTTAAAATTCAGGTATCAAAAGTGGTAATAGGCCAAAGTACAGAATACTAATCGAAAATTTAATTAGAAAAAAAAAAAGAATCTTTTGTTAAGTTACTGGATTTTGATCGAAAAGATACCATCCGGTAGAGTTGCACAAGTGATCAGTACCGTTCACTTTGTGGACCACGTTTTGAATGCCTGTCTTTACCATCGGATGGCTGATTTTTTACTATCTGATTAGAATCTGAACAGCTTCGAGAAAAAAACATCAAAAGTTGAAAACACAAGGCTCTTGGGTTCTGAAGCAGTGAAGCCGTGCTACACAAAACCCATTTAAAAGTTCTTGATCGATCAACAGAACAAAAAGGGCTTCGGTGTGTTCTTTTCTCTTACGTAAAAAAAGAATACTTCTCTCAGATGGGTTTGTATTTTTGTTTTTTCAAGAAGATACTAAATGAGAGCTTTGATTCGGACTTTATCCTTGTTTTTTGATATATCATAATTACATACTTTGTTGCAGATGAAGTAAATAGTGAGGGGGTGATGAATGGGATAGCTTCAATAGCTCTGCTGCCGTCTGGCTCCATTTCAGGCCATTTCATCCACCTTCCCCACTCTATCTGTTATGGCCTTCATGGCACTGGTATGATTACTGTCTCAGTATTACATAAAATCAATCACTTATATTTCTTTCTAGCTTCATTTTCCATTCTACTTGATCTTACACTGAAAACTCTAATCAAACGATTTTTTTCTGACTTTTATTTTTTGGCCTTCTTCTAATCTTTACGTTTCTGTTTAGTGTTTACACCAAAATGATGCTTTCTTGCAGAATTGACTATGAGTCTGAGAAAACTTTGGTACTTCAATTTTCTTTGCAGAGTTTATTTATATTCTTGCTATTGCCGATGTTGTTGATCGTAATTAGTTATTCTGGCCTATAACTTCATTTGCCTTCTTGGGTTAGGCTTTAGGGATGTTGGATGTGATGGGGTAAAGGCTGTCTCTCAGACTGTGACATTCTTAAACTTTATTCTTTGTTTCTAAGAATTGGCTTGCGAGAGAGAGTGCAGCAGAGGTGAAGATTACCGCTTGCTCAAGCTCACAATTGTAGACTACTCTGTAGGTCCTCTTTACTTCGCGCTTCTATTACCTTTTTAATTCATCTCTTCTTTGTAAATCGTGCTGGTTTACATATTTTTGTTTTTTTTTTTTTAAGTTGTTTATATGGCATTTAACTTATCTAAAATAGAAATCATGCTACAGAGGAAGAAAGAGCGAGTAGTTGTAGTGGAGTGCAAAGGGCATGATGCTGCTCGATTCCAGAACATTGATCATGCTCATGGGTAAGCCATTTTTTGAGTTCTCTTACTGTCATAACTAAATGTTAGATTTTAGGGGCATTTAATTGTGGAAACCATTCATATAAGGCCTTTTAAAGGGTAGAAAATGACCTAGAAATCTTTCATGAGGTTGTGCAGGGAAGAATCCTACCTGACCTGATTCTGATTAGGATTTTTTTTTACATTTTCTTCAATGATATAATGGCTATCTTCCTGTGATTCAATCCATCATTACCTTCTTTTATTGGCAGCACTTTTGCAATGGCTTATGTGGGGTTAGATGACGTTTGGATTTGTAGGAGATTCAGTCAACCAATTAGATGGAGAAATGGGTGCACACAAGGTCATTCAAACTTGACCTCCTACCTTAGTGATATTAGAGATATATTGTAATCTTTTCCTGATCAAAGAAGAAAGGTAGCTAAGAGGACTAAATTCTACTGCTGATAACCTTGCAAGGGAGAGAGTGGAAGGGGCTCTATTTTTGTACGGACAATAACTCTGTTCCTAAGTATTTTTGGTTGATGTATGGGCTCTAGAGCATATTCTGTAGACAGTAGACTCTTCTAAATCCTTTCTTGTACACTATTGTCATCAATGAAATACAATAATTATCTTCTCTCAATATATGCATGCATATTTATATCCAAAAGAAAAATCTTTTGCTGCGGTATGGTATTCTAAGATCAAGTTATCCATAGAAACTTTAGGTACTCTAAAGATGGTTCTTGTTTATATTTGTTAAGAAAGATAAACTATTGTCTTATTTGCGCTGGTTTGAAGGTTGCAGAAAAAGGATTTGCAATCTCAGGTTTCCCGTCTAGTAAGGGATGCACTTAGCTACCAACATGCATGTTGCTCTTGTGAGCAACTCGGGTTCCCATTCATTGCATTTTTCCTGTTATAAACAACAACGCATGAATTTCATTTTTGGTTTTTCTTTAGCCTGATAAACAAAAGGCTTCTGCTAAATGGCAGCTAGCCATAGTTGCCTTAGTTGAGAGTCTGCAATTTGAAGAGACTGATGTGGCAAGACATGCAGGCCCATTTTGGGCTGCCATCTCAGCCACCAAATATGAAACTGGTTTGCCATCAAGCTTATTCTTCCTTTTCTTACCATCTAAAAATTGCTTTGAATTCTTTTCTCAGTGTTGATTGTACCAGTTTACTTTGATATTTTCCTTATTATTGTATATTTTTGTCTTCCTTCTAAGCAATGAGAAACCACATAGATATGATGAGCTTTTTCTCTTGCTAAAACTGTAAACAGTTGGGAAAAGGACATTATAGGTATGGTCGAGCAGAAGCATGGAAAAACCAAGGTTACTGTTTCTTTTGAGTGTGAAACACTGAAAGCTGACAAAGCAGCTGAAGATCATATCAGGCAGTTCATGCCCAATGTAGCTGGACTAAATGCTGTGGGTAGGTATTGCAGGTCCTCTCTCTCTCGTGTGTGTGGGGATGTGGAATGGTATCCCGGGCTTCAAAGGGAGATCAGATCTGCTATCCACATGGCTTCCAACATTATCTACAGCTGCAAATCTCAAACGTGTTTCATACTTGTATGTTGTCATTGATGGGGTCGTACTTGAATGTGCCGCTATAGATCATGTTGGAAGCTGTGTGAGTTGCAGTTCCAGACTCCTTCATAGGATCCTTCTAAATGCTCTCTAGATGGTTTTAACAAATGCTACTAGGAACAGCCTGAGATTCAGATAGTCATAATTTCCATATATTAGCATGCTGTAGGCTGTAGCCTTACTGATTCTGATTTGTCCATGGAATGTCCACCATTTAGAAAATTAGATCTTATGACCACAACTTTTATTAACAATGAGTTCTTAGTTCTCTACCAGTTTGTGCTATGGATCTTGGGCGGTTTCTTTATTGGTTTCATTTAAAAGATCCACCAGACTTGTTGCAGTTATGGGTTTGCCACTCTTCACAAGTACAGAAAACTTTTAAGTGTCAGCTCAGGAAGTTGAATCACACACCACACTCGCTGTGTGTATGTGGTTTTGACTGCAACTTGTTAGGTGCAAGTGCAACCACAGTCCCGGTGGAAGGATTGCACTTACCAGTCGGTTATTGATTCTCTGAACAAGGAAAAACATGTTTAGCACAAATTAAAATTATCTACAATGCAACTCATAGTACTGGGCCAATTGTAATACACCTGTACACAGCCATCTCCATACAGGTCGGTCCTCTATACGTGAAGCTGATAAGGCGTGTCATGATTGGCCTGGTATACTTCCAGCTCACGCAGAGGATTCAAAGTGTGTTGAGCAAACTGAATTGTAGTATCCAATTACTGAATGTATTTTACATTCACATCAAGGTGTAGAACTTCTTAACATGTATTACAAATGTCAAAGCTTTCAATTTCTTGCTCCTAACATGAGAGTTGATATTTGCAGTTAACATTGGACGGATGAGCATTTCAGGCTTGGATTTTGAGTCGGATGATGAGCTTGACGACATGCACACATGAGCAACCCGTGAAGAAACCACACACTTTGTTTTGGTTAGCCTTGTTAACTTTTTTTTTTGGATCATACTTGATTGAAGTAACGCCAAAAATCATTGGTTACCTTTTGCATGCAACTCAATGTAACCTCGTTTTTCTTTTTTCCCAAGCACTTTGTCCTATTTCTACCAATTTCCCATGAAGGCGTTTCTTGTGATGAACAAGAAATAAGCAGTCTCAACACAAGAATCTTTCTCAACACATACTGGATGAAAGCCATCCTTCGAGAACAGCATTGGAAGCTAAAATTAAACATACTGCCGATTAAAGCCAACTATTAATGACTATTTTTTTGAGAAGCCATTTACCTGGCTAAATGCACCGGCTTAGGTAAATGTTTCCTGGAAAACACTCGAGTGTACTTATCCAGAAAACACTGTCATGTTTGGAAATCATTCTTTTCCATGGGACCAATTAATGTCGAAAAATGAATACAGATAAATTGGTCAATTCTCACATTGATCAACTTACCGTTCGCCCGTTCCTATTTATCGAAAAATGAACTAGGCCTTAAAAATTGGGAGATCTTTCCTTTACCCCCCAAAAAAGGTTGAAAGATCTTTCATGTGTTGAGGCATCCCATTATTTAATCAATTTCCTGTTCCTTGATCATATGTTTAATCCGAAACTATGTTAATGCTTTAGAGTGACCATGAGGTGAAGTATTGCAAGTGGTAAAAAATAAGCTTGTCAATGATATCCGAAAATCCATGGTCTAATACAACATTCAATCTGATAATGTCGGATTCGGATGATCTATTTATGTAAATAGATTGGACTCGGAGTTGACTCCATCCAATCTTATAATATTATAATATTTATTGATTTTAATATATAAATTTTATATATTTATATTTAAAATTATGAAAAAATATATATTTTATATATTATACTATATATGAATTTATATTTTAAAAAGTCAAGTGGAGTTCGATTAAACCCAAATCCAATCCAAATCTGTTAGGATTCAAATTCAAATCCAAGGTCTTCAAATCTGATAAGATTTTATTTGGATGCAAATTTTCAATAAAAGAAAGAGAAAGAATGAATGAATAGAAAAGTAAATAAATAAAGAACAAATAAACAAATATGCCTACAACATTTTTCAATCAAAATAATCAAGTACTAAATGGGTTGATCATTTAGAGGAGATCCTCCCTAGAGAAATTTTGGATAGTGAAAATTTATTGTAACTTGGAAGGAATAACAAATACATCAAGTAACAGCTTGGCAATTTAGCCTGGGGTCCTGCTCATACAGGAGATTTACCATATTTCTGTCTCCCATCTTCTATGAGAAAAAAACAACTCTCTGTCCCAATCCCAAAGGATCTTGGTCCTATGGCAGGGCATTTTTGAATAAAAAGCGAAAAATAAATTGGACTACTAGTCAATCAGAACTCCAATTAACGGCCTGGATGTACCACATCCATTTTATTTGACCTTAAGATCATTAAAGCACTTGACAAGCAACATGTTTCCATCGAGATAGCTTTCTCCCTGCTACTTGGTAGCAAACCTACTAATCATGACAGCTAACTGCAGAAGTTATCATTAGAGCTTGGTTGAGTACCCATTTGAAATTTCGATCTACCAAAAACCCATCCTACAGTGTATAAATATAAATAAATGGTCAATTGTCTCGTCATGCTCTAAGCACAACGGGCAGACCCGCTCGATGTTCCATCCACACCTCATAAGCCTTTGTCTGGTAGGCAGCTTACCCATAATAGCAAACCATAAAGGGGTTTTGATTCTCGGCTGTATGTTATAATTTCCTGACTCAATTTTCTTAAGGCTGTGTTCCGTATTTCAATATAGCCTAATTTCTCGTGATAGGTGGGGGGACCGGAGAACTAAGCACGTCGCCGATTTAATTGAAAACCTAACTTACCATCTTAACAAAAGCCCCGATGTACAAGGGCTGTACAAATTACACATGCACGCACGCTAATATGACCCTTCCGTACCCTGTGGATTGGATTTAAATTAAGGTTTTAAAAACAGATCCAGAAGTGAAACTGTTTTAACCATCAGTTTCTGGGTCAGCAATTCAACCGATCAGGTCAAACAGTTCAAACATTTCAATAATATATCTCATTTTACTCTGTGGATTGGATTATTAGGGTAAGATGGATATAAATGTTTTTTTTTTATATAGAAATAGGAGTTACATAAGATGAAGGAAGGGTAACTCTAGCCCCAAGCATTACAAAAACAAATAGATTTTAAATCCCTAGGGATAAAGGAAGAGTAAAAACTGAGAATGATAAGAGGAAATGAAAAAACAAAAACTGAGGATATAAAATGTTATGAGAGAGGGGATAAGAATGAGAGTGAGAAGAAGGTTTTATCCACTCTGAAGGAAGAAAAAAAAAGAAGGTTGAGAGAACGAGAATGGAAGAACTGAAGAGAGGGAAAAGTATAAGTGTGAGTGACCGGTGATCTCTCATCTCTCATCTCTCATCTCTCTCTCTCTCTCTCATATATCCCTCTAATCCATCTCTCTCTGATATCTTGTTTGTCTCGTATGTCCGTCAACGGTGGTTAAATCATCCAGATCAATGGTTTGTTGACCAATTAAACATTTTGTGGTAAAATAACAGTTCAGCACTAAAGTGGAACTAGTACCTTAACCAGTTTCCGGGTCGAACAGTCCAACTGTCCAGGTCAACGGTGGTTTCAAAACCATAAAACGAATTATTCAAAAGTAACATCCCCCGCCCCCCTCCCCAAAGAAATAAATAAATAAAGTATATAAACAAAAGAATCTTGGATCTAATAAAATGAAAACGGGAAACAAAAGAAATGCTTGCATTAGTGTTACAATACGGTTGTTACTGGTAAACAATGTTTTCTACAGATCATAATTCATATAAGTTAACTGGTGTTTCCACCCCCCCCCCACCCCCCCAAAAAAAATAATAATAATAAAATCGGTCCGCAGAGACTATTCCTCTACTTGGGTTCCCTCCGGAGTATTTTGCCATGCAGAGTATGCACTACCAGGGACCTTGATTAAAAGCTCATCGTCATCTATGCTCTCCAGCGTCTCCGAGTTCCCATGGACCTGAAACCATTGACAGTAAGTGAAATGATAGATGATTAGTGTTTTCAGTAGGTTAAACAAAGATTGAGAATGAAAGCATTGACAACAAAACTTATGAAATGACCTTTTTATTCGGTTTGTCAATACAAGAGGGAAGCATCGGAATTAAAATCATAATATGTAATTCTGTTATTATTATTTTTTTTTTCTTTTCTTTTCTTTGGATCCGCGCTGCTGCAACTCCTTAGCCCATTAAGTTGCTAGCTGCGCTTCAAAGTTGCATGATTTTGGTGCTTCACTGTTTTGTACCTTATTTATTCTGTGTTGAAGTAATCTGTTTAATCTTCTCATACGAATTTACCCCCCAAAAATGCAGAATAGCAAGAGCAAATATCTGAGGTTGAGAACTGCTAGAAACCAGGGGAATGGAAGCTTGTAAAACGTTAAGAACCTAATTGGATGTTTTGGAAACTAAAATGAATACTTGGAAATTTGAAAACACTTTTTTGATAAACACAAACCGGAATAATTGCAGAAGAATTCAACCTAAGTCCATAAAAAAATGCACAATACCAATTATCAAAAAAGAAAAAGCAAAATTCTGATAGTAGCATAATCTTTGGAACAAAAGTCCTCCCAGTGATTAAATGTCAATTTCAAGCCAGGCACAAGTTAAGTGATAGGTAAAACAAGTATATTCTGCTAAGTACACAATCAGTTATAGGTAAAACTGCAAAGTCCTAACTAGGCACAAGGCAAAAGAATCCTTGTACTAACAAAGTGCGGGATAATTAAAATAGGGTTCTTTTTTCAAGAAAATGCTGGCATGCACAGTGCACAATTGATGGCTCAATAACAACAAGCATTAGATTCAGGGATCCTTTGGCAAATTTTGAGAGGAGCAGACATCTCAGTTATGAGAACTAGATGCTAAAAACACTTGAGCTCATAGTGCGTCAGACATTCCAATTGCCAAAAGCAATTTAAATTAGAATTGTAAGTTCCAGGCAATTCAAAGAATGACAGATTATACACGTTTTATCATAAGCATTCAACTACAGAAACTGCCAGTCCCCCAAGACATAAAATCAACTCAATCTGGATTATAACCTATAAAAAAATTGTTCATATGACTGGTTAGACCAATAACCACACAAACCACATGTAAGGCAGAGACTGAAGTTCATTATTAACTTAACAAGCAAACGACCTTGAATGGTATCACTAAAAGAAAAGCCAATCCCTATAGCTAGTATTTTGATTCAGCAACACTTTACCTCCACATTAGAGTCAACAAGTTTGGTATTGTCACCATCTTTTAGCTCATTCATGACGACCTTAAGCTGGTCCTTAGCCTTGATCCTTGCTAAGCACCGCTCAGCACGTTGAGCTGCAGTAACCTCAAAATGACAGGCAACACAGAGGGTCCTCATATTATCTAATCTGCATTCCCCTATTGAAAAAACAAATCATTAGTTGATTCAAAAAATCAATCGACCACAGAGTAAAACAAAAACCAAAAATATACTTGGTAACAAGTCTCAAAAATAAATTTATCAGGAACCAAAGTCCTTGAAATCATTAATTACTATGGGAACAGTCAAGCATTCACACCTCCTCCTTGATAAACAGGTACTATATGATCAGCATGCCATGAATTGCCGTCAATTGGTTGACTAACGAGCTTATCAAACCTACAAAATATCAAATAACAAAGCCATCACAAAGTGGGACAATAACAAAGTGGAGATTGTTATGCATCTAGTATTTTAAACCTAACCCAGCTTAAAGGCATAGTTTTGGCGCCAAGGCAAAGCTAGGCAATCACAATCGGGGAGAACCTCCTAATCATCACATAGGCAATGAATTTTGCAAGTAGAAAACCCCTAAATCGTAATTTTATTTCTTATTTTGCATAGTAACCAACAATAATCTAAACTAACAATTAACAATAATATTCGTCGAATAACTTTCACCAACACCGGTAAGAAGTGATTGTTGTAAGTTGTAGGGGCAAGAGGGCTAAGGGTAGACCAAAAAGGTGTTTTAAAAGTGCAAGGTGCAAAAAAAGCATGAAGGGTATTTTGCGCCTGTTTTCTTAGTAGAAAGTGTTAGAAAGTCAGAGGAGATAAGAGAGGAGAGAAAAGAGAAGAGAGGAAAATAGATTGGGAGACAATAAGATGGGCTGGTGGCTCCAGCCTTCTTTTTTATGTTAGGGCAACACAGCACATAATAAAAAAAATAAAGGGAAAAGACAATATTGCCCTTGCAACACATAACTACAAAAAATAATAACATTTAACACTCCCCTTGCAACACACAATTCATTGTGCCACAAGTGATAATAGGCAGTTTGTGAAGATATCTACAAGTTGCTCTTCAGAACTAACTTGGGGAGTACAAACTTCCCCACTTACAAGCTTTTACCTAATAAAGTGTTTATCCACTTCAATGTGTTTTGTTCTATCATGGAGAACTGGATTAACTGCAATATTGATGGCAGCCTTATTGTCACAATAAAGAGACATGGGACTATCAACTGTGAATCTCAGTTTGCCCAACAAGTTCTTTATTCACATAACTTCAGAAACTCCATGGGACATAGCTATGTATTCAGCTTCTGCACTAGACCTAGCCACTCTTTTTTTACTTCTCCACGTGACTAGGTTTCCCCCCATAAAAGTATAGTATCCACTGGTAGATTTCCTATCATCTACCGACCCAATCCAGTCTGCATTCATATATACTTCTACCTTCAAATGCCCATGCATAGTAGTCAAGGTGATGTCTAGGTGGTTTTCAAACCTTTCCTTGTCCAAACACCATATGTAATTTGCATAAGGCACACACCTAGGCAACTAGGCTCGGCTAACCACCATTGCTATTGAGAATTACAGTTCCCCCTCCCCCTGGCTTACTAAACCCCAAAACATCTTGGTTCTTGTAGCACCCTGTCATGCCAACTAATATGCTAAATTGTTAAGCATCCAGTAACACCATGTCCCCTCCTAATTGCTCTCCAGTCACCTTATAATTACCTTAGAGTCATCCCCTTCAATGAAAACATTTATACAATTAAAAAATTCTGTTCTTTCTATACCTATCAGGGCAGCAGTAAGTTCTGCCCTTGTAGAATCTCCCATCCCCACAGCTTGTTTTTGTTTTTATATTTATTTATTTTTTTCGATGGGTAATTAAACACTTCTTTGTTTTGAGATTCAACTTAATGATACCTAGAAAAAGTGGCTGGGTAGAACTTAGACTGTTTAAAAATTAAGAAAATGAAGAGAAACATGTCATTGGTTGTATTATTTAGGGAGAGAAGCTTAACCAGAAATAACAAGTGCATAAAGGGGGTAGGGGGGATGTCTCATATAAATAATATTTTAATAGTATATGACTATATAATTTAATTTTTTTGAAGAGGTAAAGTAAGACTTTATTAAGGAATAAACAAAAGATAAAGGAAATGTTCACTGCACAAAGGCTGTGCAAGAGAAATACCTTAGGAATCCTCAAAAAAAAAAAAAAAAAACATTGCACAAGCACTCGATACATCCCTTTTGAACAGCACATTTGAACTCAGCCACCCTCTCAGATCATCTACAACTGAATTTATCACTTTTTCTACTTGGAGCTGTTTGTGATCAAAGATCCTCTTATTTCTCTCCTTCCAAATGGACCACAGGACTGCCAAAGGAATTGCATTCTACAAGATCCTACCCTTTTTGCTCAAACCTTCAACTTTACAGCTCTCAAGAAGAGACTTGACAGAGTTAGGCATGCAAAAAGAATAGTGAATGACCTTAACAAAGTGACTCCAAATTCTTGAAGAGAATTCACAGTGGAGAAACAGGTGACTGGAAGTCTCTTCTCCCTCACCGCATAAGACACAAGAGGCATCTGGAAGTCCCGTCCCTTTTCGAATCAGCAGAGTCTTTGTCAAGCACTTATCTCCAACCACTACCCATGTAAAAAACTTCACTTTAGAGGGGGCCAGACCACCCCAAACTAGACAACTGGGGAAAGAGTCTGGGTCGGCAGGCTCTATACTAGAGAAAAAGGACTTCACTGAGAACAATTCAGATTTGGACCAACACCAACAGTGCTGATCGGGGGCACAGGGGTTTAACCCTATGTCTTGCAGCTTTGCCAACAGCTCTGCCACCTGCGGAACCTTCAAATCAATAAAGTCTCTCCAGAAAGAGGGAGTCCAGACAAGAGAATCACCTGAAGCGCTACAGCACTCAGCTACCTTGACCTCCTTATCAGCAGCCAAGAGAAATAATTCTGGAAACAAATCTTTCAAAGGGCAATCTGAGCACCAACTGTCATGCCAAAAATTCAGCCTTGCACCATTCCCAACCTTACATTTAATTCCTTTCATAAAATGAAGATAAGCCTTATAGATCCCCTTCAACACCCCATAACTGTAAGAGTGGGTAGACTCAGCTGCATCCCACCCATTAGTGTGAATACCATACTTCTGCACTATAACTTGCCTCCAAAGCTCATTGGGCTCCTTTAGGAACCTCCAGAACCATTTACCAAATTTAAATTGTTAAATTTGAATATACAATTGACAAGTTAAGTGCATAATCTTTGCCTATTTGCCAATTGCCACATGGCCAGATTAGCCATTTTTCAAAAGATCCAATGGGTCATAAGTTACATGTAAATTGGGAAAATATAGTTACTAGAGTCCCATATTGTACAGTTTAAATGGTTGGAGCATTGTTACAGAGAGGAGATTTGAGATTTCAATGCAGCAGGCATTTTTGAAAATATGCCTTGAACAAAGCATAAAACCGATTTTATTATAAAACACTAGGAATTACTAAAAATGGTGAATCACAATTTTCTACAAATATTAATTAGGAGAATTATTAAAAGTAGTAGGTCCAAAATTACCATATATAGTAAATTTGATATACTGATAACAAAAAAAAAAAGTAGAAGACTCAAAATCTTAATACTAAGAAATCGAGAACTTCAATAAAAGATCTCCATCTTATGTGGACTCCACTTTTAGTTTTTGCCGACTTTTCTCCCATGAACTTACTATAAGATAAGAATATGGCTCAAAGACTTTTTCAGCCCATTTATTCCTTCCATCCAGATCCATAAGCTTCTATTTGGTCTTCCTAAGAGGCTCGAACTGATCTAATAGTATAACCATGCAGGCACATGCTGCTGTATCATCCGCACTTGAGGGACAGTTCAAACATAACAAAATTCCTTTCTCTTCTTCCTTATTTGGCATAATTGAGCATATAACGTACACAATAAATGTTATTTTCCCCATAAAATACTATTACCTGACAAAGTACAAGCATAAACTTCAAAAACCTTTCCATAGGTATAAAATGTTAGAATTCAAAAAGAGAGCTATTTTAATAATTTTTAATTTTCCATAGATGTATATGGAAGTCCTTGTTTTTTGTTTTTCATTTTGTTTAGGACTCCAAAAGATTCATCAGATTATGATTACCATGTATGTGTCCATGTAACAATGGTTTGTGATGGGAACAGGAAAGGAAAATTCAATCTTATGCTTTTTCTGCTTGTACCTTTGTTGGGTGACTGATCTATGAGTTTGAAACTTAATATTATACATATCAACATCCATCCATAACAAGGATGAAAAGCATAATTGTCAACTTATACAAACTATTTCTTATGTTAAATGAAATGCATTCGTTTTCATGGACTATATATTCCATATATGAATCAAAGCACGAGTAAAAGAATTGGAAAGGAAAGGCTAGCATATGTACAACCAAAATAAGTCTACCACCCCCCAACCACATGACCAAGTTAATCAGTTAAGAGGCTCACAAGTTCTTATGTCTGGCTATTTTTGGAGCTTCCTTCTCAATGTACTCCATTCGCCTTGCAACAGACAAGGGCCGTATGCGCTCAACAAGTTTATGACAATCTAGTTTGCACAATGTGCAAATGCCATGCTCTAGTTGGAAAAGTGCCTGTAAACCACAGGTTGGTTACCAAACTAACAATATTCATAGCAATAAATAAATGATAGCCACACGAATGTCAATCTATTCCAGAAAAAAAAAATTGAATTTCAACAGGAAAGAGATCTGCAAAATGCATCCAATTGAATCTGGACTGTAGGAAAGAAGGGGTTCAAGAAAATTGCAGTAACAGTATAATGAGATTCAATATCCAACCTCTCGCAAAGATCTTCGGCTTGTTCTTATTCGATATTCTTCAAAGCATTCCATGTTACAAAACAGATCCTCAAAAAACTCAGGTATCTTTGCAAGCTGACCCCTGAAAAAAAAAAGTTTTAAAACTATGGAGCAAACTGCATTTGTTTTTGAAAGCACTTATAGGGGGGGGCTTACTTGCATGGTGTTTGACACAGTTTACAAAGAGGTTCACCCATTATTGTCCAGCCCTGAGTGTATACTTTCTCCTTTTTCCCATAGCCACTATGAAGAGAGATCTTCTTCCAGATAGCATTTTCTGGCAGTGGATGGCTTATTTCATGTAAAGGTGTAGCACGTCTCTTGCTTCTACCTTTGAGCAGTCCCTGTTATGGACCATAATTAGATTACAACCCTAACCATATTAACTGAAGAAGGAAGTTCATCAACTTGAAAAACAGAAGAAATTTTCATCATTAATGATTACTGTAAGATAAATTAACCAGGTCCATGCACAAAAATTGCAATAATGTCTGGAGAAGACGCAGTAAGTTAAGTTTTCCACAAACATACCCCATTTCCATGGTTAATGGTTTCTTTCAGATAGAATAGCTCAAGGCTTAATGGAAGTTGTAAAGGCTTCCCAAGCAATTTCTTTTGTTCAACAGGTCTTAAACTGTTCCATTCCTTGATAAATTCAACGATCACATCATGACAAGATGGATTTTCCCTAATAAAATTGGAAGTTATCACCTTGTCCTTATCAGGAGATAAACTCAGAGACTCCAGTTCCTCTGGTCGGAAATTCTTGAAAAGAGGTCTTGGCCTTAAATCCTTTCCTGCAATGCAAGAATACAGGTGGATCCTTCCGGTATAGTGGCTTACCTGCAGAAGTCATTAAATATTTAGAAAAATCACTTAATAAATTGGTTTCTACTTAATAAATTGGTTTCATACTTCATTTCTGTTTAAACAGATTAACAGGGGTTTATTAGGCTTTCACTAACTAAAGAAAGAAGGGATAGGTTGATCAAGCCAGTATTTTGTTCAATATAGTTGGGAAAAGGCCTAGATGACGATGATGTGTATACTCATGTTTCATTAGATTTTTTGTTTAACAAAACGGCATGTTTAAGAATCTAGAAAATACAAAAAATGCATTTATTAATCATTTATTTATTATGCTACAAGCCTATAAATATGGCTAGGCCACATGCCTGAGAACTAAAGTGCAAACTGCTTAGGTCTTGAGGTTTCTTGGAACTGTCTCAACTTGTTGCAGAGACCTCTCACCTCAAGGTGGAAGCTTTTTAAAACACTTATTGAAATGGGCATGTTGGTTGAAGGGTCGTTTAATCATTGTAATAATCTCTACTAAACAGGGAAAATTTGTCATTGTAGATCATCATATATGTAGAGATAAGGGGCCAACTAGTAGTTCCTAATCTTCTTTTATTTGTGTTAATATGGGCCTGTCAACTCCTATTTTATGTTTATTGAGCTGCCACCCTATTAAGGGCACCTGTGTAGGGTGCCCTTTACTTCCACTTTCTTTTCCTCGTGCTCTGGACTTCCTTTTTACTTACTGTTATATTTCTCTTGATTAAAAAAATAAAATAAAACATTTCTCTTGATTAAATACACCCTATTACTGCTGTTTTTATTTTCTCTTGGCATCAAAGCACCACCAATTCTTTTTCTTCCTTTTTGATCCCATAACACTTCTACGTACTGACAAAAGCATATAAAAAGACTGGGGAGAAAATCAGAAAGAAATGCAGAATTAAGATTCTACCTGAAACCTCAGATAACATGCTTGAATAGAACCACTTGATTCAGGTTCAGACAGTTCAATAGGTCCAAGCAAATCTTCATTAGATGTCAAAGCACATGCTATGTTTGCCTGCATTCCCACATTCACGGGTTTTTTTTGAGAAAGAGTTGAATGTGAATTAAGAAGCAAATTTCCTTCAAGCTCAAGCTTCTCCAATGACTCATCTTTTTCACTGTCCTTTTCCAGTTTACGTGCAGAAACTATCTTAGGACACCAAATTTGTAAAGCTTCAGAAGCACTCTCTTCAAAGATTATATTTGGACCTGACTCCATTGCCATCTCAAAATCACAATCCTCCTCAGCCTATTCAGCCAATAATACAATTTTTTTTTTCAGTAAATGGCAAAGAAACTACAACGACATCCACCAAAAATGAATCAGCGCATGAACAAGCAAGAGATGTAAGAGGCAGGAACTAACATTACACCTTAATGTTAGATATAAAAGTTTGGTTTGATGAAAGATCACCTTCAAATGAAAGAAGTCTTCTTTTTTTGATTGGTAATGAAGGAAATCCATTTGCATTGAATTATTTGGTTCAGCCTCAACCAGCTCATCAGATCCATCTTTAACTTCCTCAGCTATTTCAACATACATTTTGACAAGTTGTGTTCCCCCATTTACAGCACTGTTCCCATAGACCATTTGTCCAACTATGGGAAGTTTGTCATGTACTCCAACAATGTTTGAACCTGAAGCTTCAGCTTCCAAGACATCAGTCCCATTCCCTTCTGGGCTTTCATGTTCAGCAGAACTCCTTTCAAGATTAAGATCAGAAACTTTTTCAACCTGCCAATCCAGCAAACTATGACTTTAAAGAAACAAGGGACCAAAGCCAATATTTGAACACAAGTACCAAAACTGCATAATAACCACTAGAAGAGGCACTAAAGTGTGAGTACTTGCCTTGCATATTAATGAGTATATCACCACATGCCCAACAAGATTTCCTTTCTTTATGTGGAAAGAGGGTAGAAACTTATAAATTTATGTGGTAGGAATCACCAAAGCTCAAGGCGCATGGTGAGCCATGTTCTTGAATGAAGCAAGGCACCACTTTAGAAAAGAAAAGAAAAGAAAAGAAAAACCAAATAATATGCAAATTGAAAGTATTAAATAAAGCATTTAAAAAATGCATATGGGCTCAATTGGTTAGAGAATTGTATTGTTAAAACAAAGGCTGCAACCAAGGTTCAAATCTTGGAAACAGCCCCACTGTATATGCAGAGGTAAGGCTGTGTACATCTGTCCCTCCCCAGACCCTGGGCTACCCTTTTTTAACCTAATTAAGCATCAAATCCAAGGCCAATCTCATCAAAATATAGCAACAAGCCAAACAAATCGCACTGGAATTCATCAGGCAAAGATCTCAACACAAAACAAGACATACCAATGAGCAAGGAACACCTGTTACGACACTGCTTTAAGGAATTTCAAATATTGGCAAAAACAAAGAGTTGCAGCTTAATAAACCCAAATAGTGGAACAAGGAAAAGTGCAGAATTGAGCCCCTCAAGTGAACTCCCAATTACAATTCTGCCATGATCCAAAGACGGCCAAAATCCCTTGTAGGAAATGAATAACTAGAGCAAGAAGGATAAAGAAAAGAAAACATTACCGCAATCTCTTTAACCACATCATATTTCCCATTTGTCACAGATGAACAACAGTGCACAATCTTGTTTAAATTCTGCCAACGTGACTCATCCAAAGTGTCCTGAAATATGATAATCCCTCTTAAGATATGCCAAATTAAATAATCATAGAAAATTTTTCTATAGATATTCTATGATGAATCCAGGAGTCAACACCTTTGCACAGAAGATGTATATATTGACTGAATTTGTCTGCCCTCGCCTATGAGCTCGATCCTCAGCCTTGTATATAAGCAGCAAGTATGCGTACATAGATTAGGAAAAAAGAAAAACTTCAAATAAATCATAATGGAAGGAATGGCATACAGGAAGGAGGTCCAAAAACTGGAGATTCTTTATCCATAATGCAAAAATGGTCAATAAGATTTAGGGATGGCAACTTTCCCCATTTCCCCGATCCCCGTGGGGATCCACCCTGAATGGGCCGGGGATGGGGATGATTTTCCCCCGCAGGGACGGGGATGGGGAAATTTTCATCCCCGTTAGCGGGGATGGGGAGAGCACTCCCCGCCCCGTGGGAACCTCACTAATATATATGTATATATGTATGCATACGTTATATATGTATATATGTATGAATACGTTATATATGTATATATGTACACATACATCTATATATTAATATTTTTAAAAATATGGTTGAATATATTTGAATCTTTTCTAATGGGATTGTAAATTTTAATTATTTTACCTTTGTTTTTTAAATAAAATAAAAAACAAAAACAAAATGATTAACATTATAAAAAATCATGGGGAATGGGGATCCCCACGGGTATGAGGATCCCCGTGGGGACGGGGATGGGGATGGGGATTTTTGCAGGGACGGGGATGGGAGAGGCACCCCCGCCCCGTTGCTATTCCTAATAAGATTCATATCCAAGGCATCATATTGAATTAGGATGGATAGGCAAACAAATAAAGCTAGTAAGAAGTATTATAAATTCAATGATGCATCATATTAGATCCAATTCATATAGAATAAGCAACCATTGGATATATTCAGTAGGAGAATATAATAACGTGAAATCAATCATACAACATTGCTTCAAGATTTTAGAAAAAAAAATTATATAATCCAAGTTCAAAATTTTTAGTTATCTGAAATAGACAAAATGAGAGAGTACTTGAATCATGCGTCATCAATGATGTTTAAACAAATTTGATAAAAAGTAACTGTTTTCAAGCACTTAATCTGTCAGGATCCATCTCTACCAACTATATATGGTATTTGATTTGTAATGAAATACTGTGCTATAATAAGCAAGTAGCAGTTCAAGATTTCAAATAGTTCCTTTTTTCAGATCCTACACAATAGTTTTTTTCCCTGAAACTGTGTTGAACTTTGAACTAATACCAATTACCAAGTTGAATGTGCTTAACCAAGTCAAGATCAGTTTTTAAGAACAAGAAGTACAATTGAAGCACAAGAGTTTCCTAGAGCCTGAGGCACAACATCAAGTATGCACCTGAATTAAGTGAGACATCACATATGAAAAGAAAATCAAAAGAAAAGCTTAATATATGGGCAAATGTAAACTCTGATATATATATATATATATATATATATATATATATATATATATATTTCAGAAAATCTATTAGCTCAACCGGTTAAAGCATCATGTCATATTAACAGTTTAACACAACATTTTGGGCAAGCTATGCAAGCTAAACAGTTTAAACTCTAAGAACCACGTGCACAAGAAAACAACATTTTGGGCAGAAGATAAACCTGAAGCAGAAGGTTTGGTGTTTTGGGCAGCTCCAAGAAAACAACATTTTGAGCTAATGAAAAATCCAGTCCATGTGATGCAGCAGTTATCCCTATTATTGCAATTTTAACCTGAAACACAGAAAACAAATAATGGTTTATTAACTATATGTGAAAAAATCACAAACAGAACAAATCTAAAAGTGCCTCCAAGCAACATTTCTCTACATCATATGCAACCTTGGCAAGACATTTAGCGCACCCATACCAAAAAACTTGTCGCAAGAACATGAAGGGAAAGATGGCCGGTGAAATGGTCACATGCATCATGTGCTTATGCAAGAATCAAGGTTCAAAGTTCCAGTTCCAATTAGGTTTTACCTTCCGTTGGAACTAAAACTTTGCCAAAATGCTAGGATTGTGGTTAGAGAACAAGGAAAAAACAATGCAAGTTTAAAAACAAAAGGAAAGTTGTCTGTTTTAATCATAGTCCAATTTATCTTATAGTTTTCTCCTTATAACATTTCTTTTCTCCCAAAAACACTAACTATATTTATTAAAAAGAGGATGCAGATTCATGTTCAAAATTAATGACTCAGCATCACACATATATACATGAATAAGAATGCACAGAGATACACCCAGCCTTTGTACTCCGAGATCTATGTTATACTCTCCATTGATCTATATGATCTGTGCGGTCATGTAGGATAAGTTCGATCGAATCTTTACTCTAAAAAGACTCACACATACATTTTTTATCAGAAAGAAAACTTTATCAATTGTTTTAGTATGTGAAACAGAAATTACAGCAAAGTGGTAATCCAACCACCCATAGAAATAATGATCAATCAGCCTCATACATACAAGGATATAAATGCACACAAAAAACACCAAAGCTCGGTACTCCAATATCTGAACTAAGCCCACAGCCCTCCATTGATCCATATAAAGCAATCATTTTGCTCCATAAGTCAATGTTAATAAAGTTGTCTTCAATTGCCAAGGAAAAATCATGGTTTGCAATTTACCTGAAGTATGTTGGTATTTTGGATTCTGAAATATCTATTAGAGGAATTCTTACTATTACATAATAATGAATAGGGCCTATTGCTTGGTTTAACGGTAAAATCTCAAGCTAACATACATGAGAACACAGGTTCAACTCTCAGATCAGCAACATGGTGCAAAAAAAAAAAAAAAGCCAAATGTAAGGTCATTGACCAACACTGGGCAGTGACCTTTTTTCTACATAATTATGAACAAACATAAGAAGCTAGTATAAGTAGAAGTCTGACATAGGTGGAGATTTGACTTTTTCTCCCCACCATTTCTCTTCTATTTTCTTTCTCCCCTGCTCTTCATTTTCCTTCTATTTCCTCTTCTTTTTCCATTCAGTGCTCTGTTTTTTCTATTCAACTTTAAAAGGGTCATTGAGTTTATGGCAGACACAAAACAAGTTCTCCATCTGACCAAAATATGCTATACCCATGCAAAACAATAGGTATTTAAACTTCGATCATAGTTTACATGCCACAGAATTTTAAATTCTGCATGACTCATACGTTATAATTTCTTCAAATAAATTAGCAGAAAGAAATATTCAGAGGAACAAATATGAACCTCTGGCAATGATCGGAAAGATTTCACAGCCGCTTGCCTATCCATGGGAGGTGTTTTCCCATGAATGCAGACATACTTGATCCCCTTCTCAACTGCCAACTCCTAAATATTTCAAGCAAGGACAAAGCTTAAGTTAGAATAACTGCTGTATGTATATAATATAAATACAGACATGCATATATAATCAAAAGAATGATTTTAAATGTGATCACAGTAATCAAAGTACCAGATGATTTTGCAAGCAAAAAAGCAAAACCAAGTGCTACTATAAGCGGCAAATTAATGAAGGATTGGAGACAACTATCATGATCATAAATAGGTGAAGATAATTTTTGTTCTTTCCTCTATTATATACAGGAAGCAACAGTCGATAAGACATTGTAAAAATACTTAACTAATTAATTAATTAATAAAAATGTTTACCTGAACACCCTTAAGAACTACATGATGATGAGCAAAAATTAACATTTTATGGGAGTTATGATCCATATTTGAATTTCCCTGAACTGCTGGTTCTGTAACAATAGGATGGAAGGAGAACCACTCACGAAACCCAGAAAGCTTTGCAGCACCAAGTTCTTGATCTGAAAGATTCCTTGAAGTTCTAAGGTAGTCATCATCATCTGAAAGAAACAAAAGAGGCCTGGAGTAAAACCATATCAATCGATTACATAGGCAACAATTGCAGCCATGATACTCCTTGTTGGTTTTTCTTGAACTGATAATAAATGGATACTTTTCTATCAGTAAATAGAACAATTTTATTAAAAAGAGGAGAGAAAACAAGAACGAGATGGATCTATGAGAAAATAAATGACAGAAAAATCCAAGAAATCCATTGCAAACATCCATATCATTAGCTGATTCAATTTTTTTTTCTGTATAAAAGAATGTTTATACTGGATAGCAAGACACAAGCTTTCCTATTGTAATGTGATAAATGCCAATTGTGAAAGGCATGCCTAATAAAGCCTGGCATCTGTCCAACTTCAATATTAATCTTTAAGTTTTCCTGTCATGTCCTTCAAAGTTCCATGAAAGTCTGGTATCCTGTGAAAAAGATAAGATCTTCTTCTGATTGAGCTGCCCATCCCTATTGGCACCAAGAAGCAAGACAACATCTTGACCCTATATTCGAGAAAAACCCGCAGGGGCCTAGAAAACATTGATTTCCTAGTGACCACCAGAATTTAATCTACACTGTTAAGATCCATCACTCATTCATGTCTCATTTGCACCTCCATTAACAAATTTATAACCAACATTCCAACACACGCATGAAATACATAAACATCAGCTAATAAGTTATGTGGCATTTCCACCCAGTCATTGTGTAGATTGTTAGACATTGTATGCCCTTATGATCCAATAATGTAACTGTTGCTGCCAAACATGGAGCCAAGGGCAACAACGTAATTTCCAGCGTCCGAGGCCGACGGGTTCAACCTGTTGAGAGAAAGATGCCAGAGGCCCCGAGAGGTATCCTAGGGGTGGAGACTCCGACGATCAAGTTAGCCGAGAGTTGTGAGGGGTCAAACCAAGCAAGAGAGGAGACTTAAAGCTTGAGTTCCACTGCGTCTTTTCCTCAACGTGGGAAACCTTTTTATAGTCGGAGTTGCCTGAGAGTAGTTGGAAGTAGGTCGCGGCAATTGGTAGTGGTTGGTGATAGGTGGTTAGGATGCGTCCGATCGACGCCACGTGTCAAGGTCCACAAAATGGCCGGAATGCATCCAGCTGACGCCATGTGTCAAAATCTACAGGTTGGCCAGGTACCCCTACATCACTTGCCCCATTCTCGAGGCTGTAGCGATCGGGGTTGGTTGGTGGGTTGCATTGAGGCCTCAACATCGGCCGAAGAGAGTATAGTACATTTGTGTTGAGGCCTCTGCTTCGGCTTAGTCATAGAGCTCTTCTTAGTGACTTGTTTGGCAACTGCTCCTTCGTTCACCCTTTGCGTCAGTGAAGGACCATCGCAGGCCGAGGGAACATGACCGTGGCCCGTGCGGGCGTAGGCTGTCTACATCCGTTGTCCGTGCCTCGCACGGGCATTGATGTCACCCGTCATATGTTTGTATGCAGGATGGCTGTTGAGGTCGACCGAATGAGGTCATGCACGAGACGGTGCGAGGGTCCAGTTTGACGTATTCTTGAGCCAGAGTCAATGGGTGAACCAGCCCTATCTCTTGACGTCGTTTCATCTCCCAAGGTCGGTGCCATGTGTAGCCCGTCAATTCGGGCTGTCAGGTCAGCATGTCCACGGCCGTTGGATCAATTGGATCTGAGTTGTACATTTTCCATTAAATAGGGAGGCTGGTTGAGCATATTCCCACCATTTGCTTGAAACCTTCTACTTGGAGCTATTAAGGACACCTCAGCTAATAACAACCAATCCTTTAAACTTTCTTTAACAAACATCTTTAGGTAAAGGATTCCTGTCCTCAACATGTCGGCCTCAAATTCTGGTTGTGACTTATAACCTTCCTGACTAGAGTACTCCTAGCAACACTCCTAGTAGTGACGGGAGTGAAAGAAGTGGCTCCGAGTGCTAAGGGAGAGAGTCGCATCTCGTGGGGTTGAGCACGATTAGCAGGGTGCCGATTCTACCAATGAGAGCACCGGTTCCATGTGGCCGATGTGGTGGATGTGGAACAGGCCGAGGAACTCACAGCCGAGGAGCAGGCCAAGGCTGAGCGCCGAGGCGTTATCCCCGCTCTTAGATAGCACTCTCGGCAAGGTGCAATGTAGCGCATTAGCCGAGAAGTACTAAATCCCAAGGGACTATAGGGTTAAAGTCCCCAACATGGGTGATAGGCCGTGGCTTGCTCCCAAAGGGGAGGTTTGTGTCCATGAGCATTACCTTCACTTCGGGCTACGGTTTCTCTTGCACCCCCTCATTCCTAAGATCCTAAACCATTACAACCTCACCTTTAGCCAGCTCGCCCCCAATGATGTTAGGACGATAGTGGCCATATTAGTGATGGCCCATCTTCGAGAGGTGACAATGACACCAAATATATTTCAATGTCTCTTCGCACTAAGGAAGCACCCTAACGAGGAGGGCTTGTTTTACTTCCAAGGCCGACGGGGAAGGGTGGTGGACAACCCGTCATCTATCCACAACTAGAAGAGAAATTCCACTTTGTTAGTTGACCCCAAGGCTGGTCCTTTCAATCTGGTTGGGGAAACCAGATGTGTCAACCAAGAGGATTAAGCCATGCAGCAACAATGAGAAGGTTATGATGACTCAGCTTCGGCTAGGTGGGACGATTCACGCAAGACCCTTGGTGAAGGAGGAGTTGGCTTTGGTGATGGTTGGCCTTAGTCCTTCCACCATCGATATGGATGCTCACGTTGTTTGCCAGTTCTGACATTGCTTATGTTTTCTTAGCGTTCTTCTAACCCGTTTGCTTCTCTTGCTCGCAAAAATGGAGAGCAACAGGAAGGCAAAATTGCTGGCAGCAGCATCGAAGAGGGTCGCCGAGAAGGGCACTGAAGGGAGCACGCCTCGGCATCCACCGGAGGGAGCCGCAAGACAAAGAGTCAAGGCCAAGGCGGCCCATAAGAAGACATAGGCACAGAAGCGCCCTTCAGAAACGGCTCGAGACCCTTAGGCCAAAAGACTTCAGCTATGCAAGCAGCGTCAACCCAAGGAGACCTCGGGTGAGTCACATCAAGCGGAGCCTCGGTCGTATGATCCCTGGGAGAACAAGCCGCTAACCGCTCGTTGGACCTTCCGACCGATGTGGAATGTCCGAGACGGGGACTCCTTGTCGTTTCCTGACGTCAAGTAGCAGCTAGCGATTAGCATGGTCCTTCTTGGGGACTGCCAATCCTGGACTCAGTATTCGATGGACTCAGTCCATTACACACTTTTGGACAAAACCGCTAAGGTATGTGTACACTTCTTCGAGTCCGTTGCGTTGCCGAAGTCTTCTTGGGGGTATGTGACTGACATTTTTCCCTTCTTATGTGCAAATGGTATCTTGCTCAGTCGGCCTTTGTGACAAGGTCGAGGCCGAGATGGTGAATAATCGGAAGCTCATTAAGGAGATAAAGTCCTCCTTGGCGTTAATGAATAGCGGTTGGAGTCGTCGACCGACCACAAAGGCAGTCAAAAAATATATGACCTCAAAGGAGCACGAGACGGATTTGACCACCTTTGCCTCCCAGGATTACTTAGAGGGCTTCAACGACTGCAAGGCCCAGGTGACGAAGTTCCTTCCTAGCTTTCACATTGGCCAATTGGATCCATTCTCCAATGAAGCTCAACAAATAGTGGACATACTAGGGACAAACGAGAACCCAACCACCAATGCCACCGCTTAGACTGGAGGGGGCCAATAAACCTTTTTTTTTTTGTTTTCTTTTGTTTGGGCCCATGTGCCGCTGACACTTGTGTATTTTTCTTCTTCTTTCTTGTAAGGGACCGACACCTCCCCCATAAGATGTCTTTTTTTGTAAAGACACTTGAGTAAATGCAACTTAAGTTTCTTGCCAAAAGATGTCCTTCCCTTCTTTTCTCTTCTTCTTTTTTATTTTGTGCTAGGGGCAGATGCCTTCCCCCGAAAAGGCATCTTTGTAAAGAAACATGTGATCCTTTAATAAAGTAATCCTTTACTTCAAAAGTGTTCTTTACTTAGTCTTTCATGAGGGCGCTTCGTATTAGAGTCCTTTAGGTCGATGCCGACACCACAAGTCGTTCCTTACTTAGTCTTGGAACTCTTTGCCTTAGCAAAAAAGAAGGAAGTTGATAGTGGTCGAGGCCGACATCATGCTCAGTGCGTTACTACGCAAGGGCTTTGTGGCCGAGGTCACGAGTTGTTGCCTTAGTGAAGAAGTGGCATTTACTTAGTGTGTCGTTCGTCGTGTATTTTATTAAGTAATTGGCTGACATTGGCTCTTTGACCTCCAAGGACCCTCACTTCTTTAAGGATCTTTGAAGCCGAAGCCGGGGTATGACTCGCAAAGTGTCGTATGCCTTGGGGCCGACATCTGATTCGAGCGCATAACATTAAGGAAGGTCGTATGCCGCAGTCGGCCAGTCGAGGGGGGCCGCTATCTGGTCCGAGAGTATAACCTTAAGAAAGGTTGTATGCTACAATCGACCGGCTGAGGGATCCTGGCAACTGGAGGGGACGAGAACGTTTACACAAAGAAAGAGCCGAGGTGAGAGGAACTTGCACTTTTCATTTAGAGTTCTATTGATAGTACATTCGGAGATTCTTAGAGTTCCAAGTGTGAGCACCAGTCTTCCACCCATATACTCCAGCCGAAAGGTGTCGGGTCTTACTACTTGTTTAATTCTGTAGGACCCTTCCTAGTTAGGGCCAAGCTTTCCGATGCCAGACTCGGAAGTTGTAGTATCTTGCAACTCTTTGTTGGTATGCCGCAACCCTGATTTGGGCTTGTTCTCGGACAACTTCCAATAAATCAAGGTTGGTCCTTAACTCTTCATTGTTCTCGGCTTCCTGATATGCCTTGGTCTGAAGCGTTGGTTGGCCGAACTCTGCTGGGATGGCAGCTTCTATTCCATATGTCAAGTTGAAGGGGGGTTTCACCCGTGGCAAGTCGAGGGGTCATTCAGTATGCCTAGAGAATCTGTCCAAAGCCCTTTGGCTCTGTTTAATCTTTTTTTTTATGAATAAAATAATCAGATATACGTGAATTGGCTCTGTTTAATCTTGCCTTCAACCCATCTAGGACTGTCCTATTAGTGACCTTGGCTAGGCCGTTAGTTTGAGGGTAGCTGACCGAGGTGAATCACTGCCTTATCCCTAGGCTTTCACACAATTCTCTGAATTTGGCGTCGTCAAACCGTTGGTCATTTCCGGTGATGAGCATGTAGAGGATGCCAAACCGGCAGATGTTATTCTTCCAGAAGAAGCTCTAAATCGTCTTAGCCGTAATGGTTGCCAAGGCTTCGGCTTCGACCCACTTGGTGAAGTGGTCTACTGCCATGACAAGGTATCTCCTATTCCCCGTGGCTGCGGGGAAAGGTCCAAGGAGGTCCATACCCCATTTTGCAAAGGGTTAAGGGCTGCTGAAGGCCGAGAGGGTCGTTGCAAGCCGATGGAAGATGTTGAAGTGCCTTTGGCAAACTTCCGTACCAACTCAATAGCGTCCTTTTGGATGGTCAGTCAAAAGTAGCCTTGTTTGAATGCTTTCTGTGCCACGGCACTGCCCCCCAGATGATTGTCGGAGATGCCTTCGTGGATTTCTCCTAGCACATACTCGCCCTCCTCTCGACGGAGGAAACTGAGATAGGACAGGGTAAAGGATCATTTGTACAACCTGCCCTTGAGTATGGTGTATCGTGTTGGCTACCATTAGACTCTCCTTGCCTCATTCTTGTCGGATGGCAGTTGTTCATGTTGCAAGTAGGCCAGAACAAGGTTCAAAGTATCGACACATTTCGACCGATACGTATCGTGTCGGTGGCTCCCGATGTGGCTCCCGATACACCTCTATAGAGGTTGTATCAGGTCAACCACTGGTTCAGAGGGTAATCGGGCCTTAAACTGGCCCCTCTGAACCAATTTCGAAAAAAAGTAAGTGAAACATAAAAAAAAGCACCGACATAGGCCAATACGCCCTACTGGCGTATCAACCCTTGTCGATATTTAGAACCTTGGGCAAGAATGGGATCCATCCAACAAGGCTCAGCTTGGACGGGGCACACTTGCCTCTCTTTGATGCTGGGATGCGTCAAGCTCTCGATGTGCACAGTGCGGCTAATGGCCAATCCTGAATAGCTTGCAAGTTTTAATAGGGCGTCAGCTCATGTGTTCTTAGCCCATGGAGCTCATGTCAGACCTGGTGTAGAACGAAGCTAGTAATCATGCACCTTTCAATGCATAAAATCTCCACTTCTTTCCTTAACTGCCAAGCCAACCAAAGAACACCCTGGCCTTCACTAGGAAAAATACAAAAAAATTTCAAAGCCCAAACTCCAAAGCACCCTCTCACTTCTCAACAACACTGCCTTATTGTCAAATACAAACAAGAGATCATGCACCTTTCAATGCATAAAATCTCCACTTATTTCCCTAACTGCCAAGCCAACCAAAGAAAACCCTACCCTTCACTTGGAAAAATACAAAAAATTTTCAAAGCCCAAACTCCAAAGCACCCTCTCACTTCTCAACAACACTACCTTATTCTCAAATACAAACAAGAGGTCAAGACTCATCTCCTTGTAGAGTCTTCTCAACTCTCGAAATGTAGAAGGGCACCCTATAACCTCTACAGTTCCAAGCAAGAACTTCATGGTCCACCTTAATGGAAGTTCCACAATCACCAACTTAAGTCCCACCAACTTGATCATTCATTACAACGAGTGCCTCGGTATTTTGGCTATCAAATGATTCACCAATGGGATTGAATAAATGGATGATAGTTTCCATTTTTTCAATGACACAGACTCCACCACCTTTGGTTTACGCTTCACTACCTCACAATTATTCACTGATTCAACTCCTAGGCCCACAAAAGCAGCATTGGTATGACAATTACCAATAGAAGCTTCAACAGACGTAATTGTTCAAGGAATGCTCCCATGCATGCAATCCAAACTGCCAAAACTGTCTCCTTTGTAACTATCACCTCCTGATGTTGAACAACCATCGGTGCCGTTGGAAATAACCCCATCTACCATCATTGACACTGGAGAACTTCACACTACAACCTCCATATCCCCTTTTCTCTCCCAACTGACAAGCACCAGCAAGATTTTTGACGTCCCAACCCGATGTGTTCCGAACATCATGCAAATCATGCCTGAAAATACCAACAATTTCACCCGCACCCCCTTTCGATGATCTCCCAAACAGCAGCACTGGTTCTGCATGTAACCACTCACTGAAGGGGAGACTCTAGTGACCACAATGGAGTGTTGTCAAGACAATTAACACAAACTTTCCGTTTTAGAGATTGTAACAAGTCAACTTCTACTCATGCTGGCACATGACTAACCCAACACTTCTGCAAATCCAGATTAGAATTGGGGAGCACCTAACCAACTCCCACCACCACCTTCTCCCCAATACTCCTAATACAAAAATCCATAGGAAGTCCATGGATTTGAATCATAGAAATAAGCAGCCTTCATAAAATCCACCTCCTCCAAAAGCATGCCATACATCCATAGTCACAAAATTAAAAGCTTCCCAGAAACAGCCTAAGGGCCCTTGTCAAGAACCGAGCAAATGTCTACCTCATATTGAAAGAAAAAGATAAAACAACCTTCTGGTGTGTACTCCACTGTAACAGGATGTCTCAACTCTCAAGTTCCAAGAGCATGGAAAAATATTGCGAATAGCAACAGGGTTAACATGAACACAACTAAATTTGGGTTCAAGATCACATTTATTTTTGACAAGTAATTCAACCCAATCTAAATTGAGTTTTTAATACATTAAGGTGTACCAGAGACATGTATAAAATATACCACTACTTATAACTTATAAGAGATGTTAAATTCGAAGCTCCCTAGCCCTTAATGAGTGCTTCAAAATTGAGATTTAAATCCCCAATTGCATCTCAATACAATATAGCATTCTTTCTTTATGATTAAACTAAATAGAAAAAAGTCAATGAGCCGGAGATAAAAAGGTGGAATGATAAACCACAAAATCGCATAAAAAACAATAAACAATGTAACAAACATTTGAATGATATCAGATGAGAATCAGAAAATTACCTTCAGCATCTTCTTCAGAAACATCTTTTCTTTCCATACACTTCAGATCTCCATCAACCTCCCTAACAGCAGCTTTTGCTGATTTAATATCTTCACTAGTCAGTATCAATGTTATAACTTGCCTACGTTTAGGTGGTAACTGAACTAATACATGCTTCTTCAAACGCCTTATCTGTAAGCAATATGCAAGCAGGGGTCAAACCTCATCCAATAATTCTGTCAACAAAAAGAAAAACACTGGCAATCCAACTAAGTGGGCTCTATCTTTGGATACAATGGACAGAAAAAGGCAATTTGACCATCAAGAAGTACTGCATGATTCAGATGTTCCTTGGTGTACATGGGACATTTCTAATTACTTTATTTCTTTAATACAAATCTATACTTAGTCTTCAATAAAAAAGGAAAGATGTTGTATGCAGGTTTAACCAAAATGAAATAGAGAAAGAGACCAAATTCTTTTATGCAAGTGTTTCAAACCAAATTTTGAAACCAAACCAATGTGTCAAAATAATCAGGTTGGCTAAACCTATTGGCACCAACCAACTGCAACAGTTGAACTGATGATATCAGCTGTATGGTGATTGCACAAGAGACATGTTATATTATGTATTGTCTAAACAGTACAATAGCACACGGCCACCAAGGCTTAAATGGAAACCCAGCTAGAATTAGGGCATGGTTATGCTTTTCATGCCGAGGCCCAGCCTGTGGGCTGTGGCCTGGAAATCCTAAACCAACCTAAGCAACATGTAAGGTTCAGGTTTCAAAAACAGATACGAGATTCAGAAAACAGAAGAATCAAAGCTCAAAGACAGAAGACAACTAGGAGATTTTGTTAGCGTCAGGATAGTGCTTTGTTTTCTAGAAGGCTGGATGGGGTTTGTTTTGCATTTGTTTCTTGAGTTGGTATTTTCATGTTTCCTAGGATTTGGGTGATTTCTCATCACCTTTTCTGTACTTTGTTCTCTTTCTTGAATAAATTTTATATTTTATTTATCTTCAAAAAAAAGTATGCAAGGTTCAGGTTGCTCAGTGGCCCAGACCAAGCTGCAGTCCTACCTTGCCTTCATCATTTTGCTCTTTAATGAGGAATAATCCCCTACCCCCAACAACCTAAAGAACTCACAGGGTGTGAGAGAGAGGAAAACACATAATGAAAGCAATGGTGCCATGACTGGGAATACATATGCATTTTACTTTATAGAACTGACAGATTTTTCAGATTAAAATGTCCCTTCGCAGTAAGAAGAAATAAGGTTGGTTTCAGATTAATAACTGATCGATAATTGATTATTGAACCAGACAGGTTTCTGTTTGAGTTGACTTGTTGTTTGATATAACCAAAACAGTAGAACATCCTCTTTTTGGGTTTTACACTGTATTAAAAGACAGTAAAAAAGATATGCTTTTGGTAGACCTACCAGAGATCAAGACTGTAAGGTGAGGCTAGGCAACAAGGCAGTTAAAGTGCCTATGCACCCACCTAGGCAGTAATAGCGGAGAATAGCCAATAATAATGAAACTAAGGCACATTATATCATTCATTTTAGAGATAAATTGCAACATTCTGTACAACAAAATAGAGGTGTAATGTGGGCCATGCCTGGCTGGTATAGATCACATTTTCGTGCCGCTTGCACTATATGGTCCATGCCATCTTGACCCGTGCAGATTGGGGGTGGAGCTTAGCACAAGCCCGGGCCCATAGTCCACAGGCCTATTCATATTCTTTTTTTTCACTACAAAAATTCAAAAAATTATAAAAAATAATGAAAAGTTGGAAGGAAAAATTGACAAATTCAATGGTTGCAAGTTTGAAACAAAAAAAAGTCATCTTAAAATTTTATTCAAAATGAATAATCAATACCTACAATAAAAACATTAAATGATTAAATGAAATTGAAAAAAATGCTATAATAAAATGATTAAATGACATGTCGGGTCGTGCCACACACTGGCACAGCTCGCAGGCCAAAAACCCTTGGCCCAGCCCATTTTACACCTCTACAACAAAATTACTTTCTAACAAGAAAACAGCAAGGTATATGCAAGCTCAACCTGAATATGAGCCTTTCATCAATGTGGTTCAAAGCATTAGCTTCATCATTATAAAACATTAAGATAAAATCCTATAACAAATTAGTGGTCTATTATTCTATTTGCAAATTTTCTCATAGTAGCATGTGAATGAGATGCAATTTTCACTACTAGTCATAAGAATTTTTATTGACTCAGATTCCCTATAACATATCTACAAAATAGCAGATTGCCACAAGGCACCTACCATACCATTTGCCTCAATTAGACAGGTTCTAAAACACCTTATCTAGTGCCTCATGGAAAGGCAGGTGCCTAACATGCAAGCAAACAAAAGAAGAAGGTCCATAGGCAACCCCCCATGTAGCACCTGGTCACCTAGATGAGACCCTGATAACTATGACTGATGATAGCACCCTTAACCCCTAAGCTAAAAACTAGATACATGAATCATATGTATGCAAGCTGAGGATGATAAGAGTGTTGATCAAACAATACCAGAAGGCACTTTTGGTGAAAATCAAATGTATATAACACAAATGAAGGATATCAGTGACATGTATCATATGTATGCAAGCTGAGGATAAGGATGGTTGATTAGAACTATATCAGAGGGCACTTTTGGTGAAAATCAAATGCACAACACAAAATAAAGGATATCAGTGACAAATAGTTAGCTCAGCACCAAAGTAAATAGAAAGTAAGAACAAACCATGACGGATAACTTTAGCAACACATTCAATTCCTCCAAGCGAACACCCTTTGAAATATCTTGCAAGAATCAAAATAAAAAAATATATATGTTAACATTTTATCAATCATAACAAAAACCAAAATTAAAAGCAAAGCTTGCTAAAAATAGGCATCAACCATCCTTCCTTAAGGAACATACTAATGCAGTTATGAGTTATACCTAATATTTTAAAACCCAGAAGACACCAGAAAATTTAAACTGTTTAAACCATCATCTGGAGCCTAAACTGGCCCACTTGAACAGTTGAACCACCACGGCACCACCAGGTTTCCTGTAAGCCCCCTTTGCAATAATTATTTGACTTGCATGTTCCTTCTATTAACTATCTAGTGTGGAGTTGGCAAAATCTGCTCTTTCTTCTTTTATTACTTTGCGGTCTCTATTTGGTAATTGAAAGGAAGAACACTAGTTAAAAGTTTTAATCAATTTGGTCTTTGAATAGAATCGAATAACATTTTGATGGCCAAATCCTGTACTTTCCAATTGAAGAGTCAAGAATATAAAGACAAACAACCTATTCAATTACAAATGTTAATATAAGGATACCAGGCACAAGGAACTAAGATCATTTTAATTCCTATTCCATGAGTTGACAGGTCACAGAACCAAGCCTGAAAGGGGGTCCAAGGAGATTTCTGTAAACTAAGGGAGGTTAGGGGACACCAGTGCAGTTGTCATAAAATTGGGTTTAAGTGTAATTTATAGGCTCATTTGCTTTTCACGCATACAATAGCTTGAGTTGTTAAAACAATAACAATCAAATCAAATAATAATGAAATAGGGACTGAGCAAGAAAATAACAGTAAATCCAAACAATTTTCACTTTGAACGTTTTGAAGGCATGGCATACACTATAATCTTGAGCACTTTGCCATTGGCAGAGCAAACATAACTACCAGTTTATTAAACTAAGCCAACGAGCAGTATAAAAATAAGTCCAAATATATACCCTGAATCTCCTCTTTTGAGAACCTGGAACAGACTCTACTACACAGTAGTTTCTGACAAATTCATATTTGTCCTTTCCCAGCAAGCCAGGCCTAAAGAAAGGAAGCATATCAAGTATAAATATATTGAAACTGTAGCAAGCCATAAATAGAATCAGTCACTTCCATATGTTGAAACTGAGAAGAAAAATGAGAGATATGAACCTACCATAACATATTTATTTGATGAAATATGTCATATGGCCTATGATCACCTAGGACAAATGCAAAGAGAATATTAGAATGCATTCAAATTTTGACATAGATAAAAATGCAAGGATCTAAAAGAAAACTACAGTTGGAAGTTGGAACCACAACTCTCTTAATTTGAACAACCACACAAAATTAAAACACATATACGATAGGAAAAAATAATTGGGTCCTAATGAAACAAAGAGCCAACGTCAAGCACTGCCAATTTGTGTACAACCTTGACAATGAAGGTGTCCCAGAGAGTAATATTATACGTTTGCTTTTTGTTGCCACGTCAAGCACTGCTTTTATCTGTAATAACAGAAAAAGGAACATGAAGATGAAATGTTATGCAAATGAAGATACAGAAAAATTAAACAATTAATGCAGCTAAAATGAAACCTAAATGAACAAGAAAAAATTGAAGAAATATGATACAAACCAAAGGTAGACAAAAGAAACATAAAAATGTAAACTTGGCAATGGATATATATATATATATAAGTACCGATACACCTATGCCAATACACAGAGGTGTATCAATACTGTGAACCATGGGTTCAATACAATAGTTAGCAATGTTGCATTGATTAAACCCTAAGAAAATAAGAAAATAATAAAAAGAAATCAGTATATAAACACATAAAATGAATATTCTAGTTTAATAATGTCTATTTTATAATTATAATGTCAACATTTTAAAAATATAAAAGTATTTTATAACCCAGTGCACAAAACTGCTAGGCAACTGGGCGAGGCAAGCCTCCAAGGGCGCCTTGTCGCGTAGGTGCCCGCCTAGCCGTCGCCTTGACAACTATGTTCCATACATGCATATTCAAACAAAACAAAACAAAATAGTTGGACTACATTCACTAAATTCAAACTTCAAGACCTTGGAACCAGAACCAGCCTCCTAATAGCTCAGTCCAACTGAAATAGAAATTACTACAACTAGGTTTCCACGGCGGCCTCAAGCTCTTTATTTTTTTCCCAAATGCTTTACTTCAAATAGCTAATGTGATGTTAAGCATTTTGAATTCCTGATTCTACGAACTGCCTTTGTACCAAGCCCCTTGAGGCAAGCCCAAACAAGTCCATTTTAGTGTCATAAATTCTCAACCCCTACCAAAAAAATGATTTTATAATTTTAATTGCCTTTTAAAAAAAACTTTTATTAGGATGAATAAATGAACAACATCAGCAAATAGGAGTTCATGAAGGGGATTGAGAATTTTGGACCCAAACAAGTTCTGGTTCAACAAACCGCTTTTGTTTGGACTTGTTTGCTAATTAACAACCTTAACAAACATTTTGAGTTTGCTGGTTTTTTATTCCCTAGAGTTCACATTACTGGTAGAAACTTTGATATCATACGTGATTTGTATCATCTACCACTTATTTGTATATAAGTTTAAAAACATTTGTGTTTTGCAAAGATCAGTAACAATCAGAAATTTTATTAAGATTGGAAACAAAATATACAAATGTACAATAAGAAGTAGACAAACAGGAACACTATAACCCACCAAACCATACATTAGGCTCCCCTTGGAACTTCCCCCCCAAAGCAGCTCTACTCCATGTAGCCCTTGTCTAGCCCGCAATTGTTCAACGGTTCAACCACCATAAATGATGGCAGAGGGGACTCAATCAATACCCCTTGGGTCCTAATGATTTGGGCCCCGTTTGGTGCATCTTTCCGCACAGGTTGTTGGCTGTTTAGAAGCCCGGCAGCCTGCGTTTTGGTCTTTTCCCGTTTGGTTGGGAAAAGATCTAGCCGCCAAAAGATGATGCCCCAAAAAGACACATGAGGCCCATTTTGGGCTATTTTTGGGAAGCTCCAAATGAAGCTTTTCGACTTTTTCACACAGAAAGATGCACCGGAAGACGTGCCTTAACCAAACAGTCTTCAGGCTGCTAAGATCTTAATGCAAAAGCTCACATCATCTTTTAGCTGTCAGGCCTGCATGAAGATCTTTCAAAAAAGACTTGCCAAATGGCACCATGGTCTTTCTTCCCTGTCCTCATCCAGCTTGCTTACTTTGTTGTTAGACCAGGATTACATCAAGTTGGTGAGGTAGATCCTAGTACAAGGCAATCTATCCTAAGTACAAGCAGAAAAATATTTGATATGTTTTTCTGAACATAGTAGGACATATACACAATATTTTGGATTGCCTTCATCAAGGCAAAGCCTTTAACTTCTAGATCTAGAATGCCACAAGAACAAGATGCTTTTTGTTTTTATTGGAATCTTGAACCTATCAAATGATCTCTTCCCAATAGGAAACAGATGAAACAATCACAACAAATTTACACAGGTTAAGAATTGTTTAAGACCACCTTTCAGAAAGGATTGTTCTCCTCTTTAACAGAAAAAATAAGAAGAAGAACTACAACCAACAGTGTCAACTTAAATACAAAGAGCTGGCTGTTGTTTCTTCATCACAATAGATAGCAGGTGCATACAATACCTCTAATGGCTCTGACTTTTTTATTGTACATCGGATGTGGTGAGATTCATCAACAATCAAAACAGCCCAGTCTCGATCTAGCATGCTCTTATGTAAATGATGAAGCATGGTGTATGAAATAACCACAACTCTTGGAAATTTTGCCAAGCGGACAGGATTATCTTGATGACCAAAAACTGGAAACAATTAATGGAACAAAAGACTTCAGAATGGTATATGAAGAAAATGAAGAAATCATTCTTAAAGAACAATAGAAAATCAACATATGTCCACATTTATCACATATGTGTGTTTGCATGTATTTGTGCAAATCCATGTGTGTAGGAAGTCTTCTTGCAAGTCATTTGAGTAATGGGAATCCTACTTTTTCATTCTGATATTTTCTTGTTGAGATTGATCAGTGTAGGAAGTCTTCTTGCTTTGTTTCTGGTGAGCTGATTGATGGAAGTCTTCTTGCTTTGTTTCTTGAAGATAGTTGGAGCCAGACCTTGGACCATAACAACAACCGCTATGGCAATGATTGAAGTAGATATCTGAAAAGTTGGTAAGCTGCAGGAAAGAAGGAGGGTGTTGGGGGCAAGCTTAGTTGGGAGATCTGTCGGAATAGACTTGGATGTGGAGAAAGTGGAAGCTGGGTGGTGATTGAATGGGGAAGGGACAATGTTTTGGGCGTAAGAAGGTTAAATGGGGGGTTTATTCCCTTTCATGTTACAAAGCAAAGACACGAAGAGGATCCTGGAAGCAAAGCCTTCTAAGGAAAGGGAGTTCGACCAGAGATCAGATCGGTCATTCCCGGCAGCAGGAGCGCTGTCCTCATAGAGAAGAGGAAGAGCAGTTTGGATTGATGTGGTTGGTATTCCGTTACATGCATGGAGCATTCTCACCTTTGAAGAGTTAGGGAACCGATGTGGGAGATTCTTAAAGTTTGATGACAAGAATAGGACGTGGGAGAGGTTGGATATGGCACAAATCCTGGTGGAGGTGGAGGAGCTCTCAAAATTCCCAAGTTACATCGATTTACAATTCATTAGTGATGTCTAAGATTTGAGGATATTGGTGGAGGGAGAGGACTTTACTTTTCTACGTTTATCTCGGGATGGTTATTCCTCTGTCCCAGTGACAAAGTCAACAAGGGAAGAACATGGACACGATTTCCAGGGGTTAGGTGCAGAAGAAAGGGAGGTGTTATGGCGGGGGAGGGAGGAAAGAGGTAATGAGGTGGGAAGTCCAAAGGGCAAAAGTGGAATTTCAAAAGAAATTTGTGGGTGAGGCCCAAGAGTTTTCAGGCGTTTGAGACTAGGTATAACAAGAGAGGAAGGGGTACAATTGGAAAAAAAAGTTTCAAAGGTGAGGGGGCTAGGCCGCTAGGGAGAACGAAGAAAGGAAAGGAGGGGGAAGAGTGGGTGTGGGAGGTAACTAGGTACGAGCAACATTCGGCGGAGACTAGGAGAAAATTCTAAGGGGTTGTCGTCGTCGGTGTCAACCAGCAGGAACTCCCCAACAGTCCGGTAGACCAGGAGATTTTCGAAAGCTTTGGCTCGCCTCAAGGAGAGGTTGCGGCAAGAGAAGGGACTTCAAGGGCATCTCAAGGCATCCAAGGACAGCATGACATAAAAATGACTACTCAAGCTCCACAATTTCCAAAGCTGAGACAAACGGAAAGGAACATCAATAATGTGGAGGCTGGAGAGAGGAGAGTTCTCGACAAAATACAATCAGCGGAGGCCGACAAAGGTGAAGAGGTAGGTGTGTCTAATCCTCCCCCTCCAATCTCTCCACCCTATGTTTCTTCAACCTTCACAAGAGGAGCAGAGGAAGTTTGTAAGGAGGTGACTGGGTTGGGAAAATCGAAAGGAAGTGGGGGGAAAAGGCAGCTGGAGGAATGGGAGGTGGTGATTTGCTCTCAAAACAGGGTCAATGACAAAAGCAGTAGGTTGTTAGGGTTTTTCTCTAGAGAAGTAGAAGTTGGGCAAGGTGGGTCGATAAAGGGTGAGAGTACAGAGGGAGGAGGAGGGGAATCAGGGGGGATCTCCAAAGAAGGGAGTCTAAGGCTAGGGAAGAAGTCAGAGGTGGAGTTAAAAGATTTGGTGGACAGGGAGGTTAAAATCAGCAAGTCGTTGGGTCTACATTTTTGGAGAGGGGAAAGTTTCGCAAGGATTGCCTTCAAACGTTTTGAAAGAAGCAAAACAGAAAAGAAATTTCAGGAGGGTGGGAGAGGAGGGGGGGCATAAGGGATTTAAGGGTGGAAATGTGGGAGGCAAAGAGTGGAAGGTAGAAATTAAGTTGCTGCGTTGGAATTTCCAATGCCTAAAGGAGGAGAGAAAGAGATCAGTGGTCAGGAATTTCATTAGGAAATATAATCCAGAGGTAGTTTTACTACAAGAGACTAAGTTAGAAGTTTTTGATTTAAGGATGAAGGATGAGATTTGGGGAAGGGGCAATGGTGAGTGGGTGGCATTGAATGTTGTAAGGCAACCAGGGAGTCTGGTAATCTTATGGGACCCAGATGCTTTTAGGAAGGCAAGGGAACAAGTTGGGACCTTTTTGGTGTCAGTTTGCTTACAAGAAGTAAATGGAAATTGGATTTGAGGCCTGACAAACGTGTATGGACCTAATGAAGAGGGGGAGAGGTTGGAGATGTGGGAGGAACTGAAAAGTCTGAGAGAGAGGTGAGAGGGCCCATGGTGCTTGGGGGGAGATTTTAATATAGTCGAGACGAGTGAAATGACAGGGGGAGAGAGAGAAGAGTGGGTGTGGGTATGAGAAGATTTGAAGATTTTATCAGAAGACATGAGCTTATTGATCCACCATTAAATGGCGGAAGATTTACATGGTCAAATGTTTAGTGCCCAACAATACTTAGAAGATTGGACAGGTTCCTGTTCTCTAGGGATTGGATAGAGAACATGGGGGAAATGGTTCAAGAGCCTCTAACATTGTGTTTATCTGATCACAAACCAATACTATTAAGGAATTTTGTACAAATTTCAGGTCTCAAACCTTTTCGGTTTGAAAATGTTCTGCTATATCAACGAAACTTTGTGGAGTGGGTTGAGGAAAAATGGAGGGGTTTTCAAGCGGAGGTTAGAGGTGTTTGGGAATGAAGTAAATAAAAAGAAAGAGTTGTTGGAAAAGTTGGCCAGATTAGAGAGATCGAAGGAGGATGGAGGCTTCTCAAGGGAAGCAAAGGTGGAAAAAGAAAATCTGGGGAGTGTTGAAGATTAATTAGTTTTATGATGTTTTTCTGAGTAGATGTTTTATGTTAATTGTTAGATAGGAGGTGGGGACCACAGTAGTTATGTGAAACCAATTTTTATTATGTTTTTTGAGTGTTATATATGATGTTTTATGTTTTGCCGCCCTATAAGGGCATAGTTGCCTGTGTATTGTTCTATTTTTTTAGTATAAATAATAAGTGAAGGGGGCAGCCAAATTATTGCTCTCTTTTCTTTCAACTTCTCTTCTTCTCCTTCTCTCTTCCTTCTCTCTTCAAGAAACTATTTTCTTTCATATTTTTTAATTCAGCAGATTTCTACTTGGTATCAAAGCATCGGCTAGGGTTTCTTGAAGCATTCTCATGCAGCCCTAGATCAGCCGACTGCATGAAGTAGTAAAGGGCTGATCGATCTGCTATAGATTGCCCAGTTCTTGGAGTTTTTGGTGGGATCTAGACAACAGGACGGTGATCTACTGTTTGGCATCAAAATCAGGAAGAACTGGAGTACGGGGAAGAGTCCCAGAAAAGTTGGACTCTTTGTTATTTATCTGATCTTGGGCGCCCAGGTATTGTTAGTTTTCTTTTGATTTTTTGAAGACGGCGGTTTGGTTTCTGAAATTTTCTAGGCCTCCCGGAGTGATCGATTCACTTTTCTCTCTGTTGGGAGGCATGGGGAGGAGAGAGATTTCACTCCAGCTAGGGTTTTCTTCTTCTAGAAGGGTTGGTTTCTGTGTGTGTGGTATTAAATTATTTTTTGAAGGTCTCCAATCTATTTTTTTCTTATTGTTGAACTGTTTGAAGTAAAATGGAGAGTTGGAATACCAAGATGAAATCTACCGGTACTATGGGACTGGATGTTGGAGGTAGTAGTGATATTTTTGGGTCTAGGATCATTACTACAGTAAAACAATGATGGTACAAATTATTTGGAGTGGGCACAATCAACTAAGATGGCTATTGGTGTCCGTGGAAAATTAGGGTATCTCACTAGGGAGGAGAAGAAACCTGATACAGACTCTTCCCGATGGGTGCAAGAGAATTACATGGTAATGTCTTGGCTGTGTAATTCTATGTTACCTCAYATTGCAAAAAAATTCCTATGGGCTAATACTGCTAAGGAGATTTGGAATGGAGTGACTGAAACCTACTCTCARAAGCAAAATGAAGCCAGAGCCTATTAGTTAAGAAATCAGGTGATAAGTATGAAGTCCATGCTAAAAACCCTATGGCAGGAAATAGATCACTTAGAAACTGTGGTACGGGAAAGTGTAAATGATGCAACAACTTATCACAAACTGGTAGAGAGGAATAGGGTTTTTGAGTTCTTGGCAGGGTTGAACCCTGAATTTGACATTGCTGACATTGCTAGGCAGCATATTCTTTCTAGGGAGGGTGTGACACTCTCTCAAGCCTATGCTTTTGTCTCTGGAGAGGAGAGTAG